CCAAATTCTATCATCGATGGGGTTCAGTGCGTTTGATTGTAGGTGAACTATAAATCCCAGCAACTACAACTCCCAAATGTCAAGTTCTATTTTCCCCAAACTCCACCAATGTTCACATTTGGGCATTTTGAGTACTTGTGCCAAGTTTGGTCCAGATCCATCATTGTTTGAGTCCACAGTGCTCTCTGGATGTAGATGAACTACAACTCCCAAACTTAAAGTCAGTGCCCACTAAACCCTTCTAGTGTTTTCTATTGGTCATGGGAGTCCTGTGTGCCATGTTTGGTTCAATTCAATCATTGGTGGAGTTCAGAATGCTCTTTGATAGTAGGTGAACTATAAATCCCAGCAACTACAACTCCCAAATGTCAAAGTCTTATTTTCCCCAAACTCCACCAGTACTCACATTTGTATTAAGGATTTGTGCCAAGTTTGGTCCAGATTGATCATTGTTTGTGTCCACAGTACTCTCTGGATGTAGGTGAACGACAACACCCAAAACTCAAGGTCAATGCCAACCAAACCCTTCAAGTATTTTGTTGGTCATAGGAGTTTTGTGTGCCAAGACTGGTTCAATTCCATCGTTGGTGGAGTTCGGAATGCTCTTTGATTGTAGGTGAACTATAAATCCCAGCAACTACAACTCCCAAATGTCAAAGTCTTATTTCCCCCCAAGCTCCACTAGTATTCACATTTGTATTGAGGATTTATGCCAAGTTTGGTCCAGATTGATCATTGTTTGTGTCCACAGTACTCTCTGAATGTAGGTGAACGACAACTCCCAAAACTCAAGGTCAGTGCCAACCAAACTCTTCAAGTATTTTCTGTTGGTCATAGGAGTTATGTGTGCCAAGATTGGTTCAATTCCATCGTTGGTAGAGCTCAGAATGCTTTTTTGATTGTAGGTTAACCATAAACCCCAGAAACTACAACTCCCAAATGTCAAAGTCTTATTTTCCCCAAACTCCACCAGTTTGTATTGAGGATTCGTGGCAATTTAAATGGTCCAGATTTATCATTGTTTGTGTCCACAGTGATCTCTGGATGTAGGTGAACTATAACTCCAAAACTCAAGGACAATGCCCACTAAACTTTTCAAGTATTTTCTCTTGGCCATGGGAGTTCTGTGTGCCAAGTTTGGTTCAATTCCATCGTTGGTAGAGCTCAGAATGCTCTTTTGATTGTAGGTTAACCATAAACCCCAGAAACTACAACTCCCAAATGAGAAAATCAATCTCCCCCCAACCCCACCAAATTTGGGTATTTGTGCCAAATTTGGTCCAATGAATGAAAATACATCTTGCATATTACATTACGATTCATAACAGTAGCAAAATGACAGTTGTGAAGTAGCAATGAACATAATGTTATGGTTGGGGGTCACCACAACATGAGGAACTGTATTTAGGGGTCGCAGCATTGGGAAGGTTGAGAACCACTGTTGTATAGCATTGAGCCACGGCAATTCAAGGGGTGCCAAAGTGCATCCATTCTGCAGCGTCGATGCACTTGTGGTAACCCTAAACAGGAAAGTGCCACAATAACAGGTGATTGCCATTGACCACATGTCACCAGATAAGTGCCTTTTTTCCTGGTGGTGACCAAAAGGTCAGGTTCTTAATACCTTAATGACTCCGTCTCAGAACAATTGGATGTAGGGCTCTCCCTAGGAGGGAGGGAGGGCCCCACCTGGGCTTAATCTTTAAGTCCGAAACACAATGTGGTTCAAACCCATCTGGAATGTGGTTGAACCAATTAGAGGCACTGACCAGAGGTGCTCATCCATTTAATGGATAGGTAAGCAAGCAATTACCACGCAAGTCCAAACGAAGGGGGAAATGGAGAGAGGAAATAAACAATAACACACAAGGTTTTTAAATCCTTGTGTATTATTGTTTATTGTTTATATGTGATTTATATTAATTGTATTGTATTTATTGCTTTTGTTTATTGCTTTTTTTGTTTTTATTGATGTGCTGTTGGGCTTGGCCTCATGTAAGCCGCCCCAAGTCCCTTGGGAAGATGGTGGCAGGGTATAAATAAAGTTATTATTATTATTATTATTATTATTATTATTATTATTATTCTTATTATTATTATTAATTTCCCCATGGTTGCTAAAGGTTTCAGGGGAGGAGGTTAAACAACCATTGAATCTTCTCAGTCACCCACACTTTTTCAATGAGCTGGTGGAGTTGTTGTGTCAGCTCAGGTCCTCCCTCTTTAAAGATTCCAGGAGGGATCCCATCAGGTCCGCTGGCTTTGTTATTTTTTTTGTTGGCTGATGGCAGTGCTGCAAGCTCATCCCTGGTTTGTTGTTGCGGGATTTGTGAGAGAACCTCTTCGGCCACATTGGAGCTGCGGTTCAGGAGGCTTTGGTAGTGTTCTTTCCAACGTAGTGCAATTGATTTTTAGTCCTTCGGGAGATTGGTTCAATCTGATGAGTGTAGAGGTTGTATGCCATGGTTTCGTGGTCCATAGATGACCTTTGTGGCTTTGAAAAATCCCTGAGCATCATGGGTATCTGCCAGGTGTTGGATTTCTTCATCCTTCAGAGCAGTGCAGATTCAGCCTTAGTCCAATTAGAGACCTTTTTCCAGACTCTGATACATCTCCCTTTTTGTGTCTTCAAATGAGATTTTCCAAAGAATTGAACGCAAACACCCTGACCCTTTCAGAGGAATTTCAAGAAAACCAACAACCCAGAATTGGGTGCATTGCTTAGCAGATGTTTCAAGGCCTTGATAAACCTCCTTGTGACCTCAAGCCACATCTATGGAAACGGCTGAGGAGGCTTGCAAACAGAACAGCTGTTTTGCTTGACAACGGAGGCGCCTGTGCTGCAAGGACCCTCCCATTGTGCTATCACTCCAAGAACAGGAAACCCAGCAGTGGCAGGGATGGCAAAGATACCAGCCTCCAGTAAGATCACCACCTACAATGGGCTTCAACCCAGGGCTGTGGCAGAACCCAACAGGAAGGACTCTGCCTTCCTCTGCTGGTGAAGAGAATCATAGGGTTGGAAGACCCTTCATCTTCTCATCTCCAAGCTCAATATATCCAATTCTTGAAGCCTGTCCTCGGAAGGTTAGCATTCCAGACTTTTTAGTGACCTTCTCTGGACAACTTTCCATCTTGTCCACCATCTCCTTATTGAATTACTTTGCCCAGAACTGGACACAGGGTTGATATTCCAGAGGAAGTGGTCTGGCCAAAGCAGAGAATGGGATTAGGACTTTCCTGAGCTAGAACAGGCATGGCCCAACTTCGACCTTCCTCCAGGTGTTTTGAACTACAACTCCCACATTTCCTAACAGCCAGTAGGCTGTCAGTGGGGTCGCCTGAGACCATCAGGAAACACAGTATATTCTGGGTTGTTGTAGGTTTTTGGGGGCTATATGGCCATGTTCTATAGGCATTCTCTCCTTAGAACATGGCCATATAGCACGAAAAAACCTACAACAACCCAGTGAATCTGGCCATGAAAGCCTTCGACAATACAGCATATTCTGTTGGTCATGGGGGGTTCTGTGTGGGAAGTTTGGCCCAGTTCTAACGTTGGTGGGACTCAGAATACTCTTTGATCGTTGGTAAACTATAAATCCCAGCAACTACAACTCCCAAATGTCAAGTTCTATTTTCCCCAAACTCCAGCAGTGTTCACATTTGGGCATATTGAGTATATGTGCCAAGTTTGGTCCAGATCCATCATTGTTTGAGTCCACAGTACTCTCTGGATGTGGGTGAACGGTTGTTGTTCATTCGTTCAGTCATTTCCGGCTCTTTGTGACTTCATGGACCAGTCCACGCCAGAGCTCCCTGTTGGTCGTCACCACCCCCAGCTCCTTCAAGGTCAATCCATCATTGTTTGAGTCCACAGTACTCTCTGGATGTGGGTGAACTGTTGTTGTTGTTCATTCGTTCAGTCGTTTCCGACTCTTTGTGACTTCATGGACCAGTCCACACCAGAGCTCCCTGTTGGTCGTCACCACCCCCAGCTCCTTCAAGGTCAATCCAGTCACTTCAAGGATGCCATCCATCCATCCTGCCCTTGGTCACCCCTCTTCCTTTTTCCTTCTATTTTCCCCAGCATCGTTGTCTTCTCTAAGTTTTCCTTTCTTCTCATGATGTGGCCAAAGGACTTCATCTTGGCCTCTACTATTCTTCCCTCCAATAAGCAGTCGGGCTTTATTTCTTGAAGTATGGACTGGTGGGTGAACTACAACTCCAAAACTCAAGGTCAATGGCCACCAAACCATTCCAGTATTTTCTGTTGGTCATGGGAGTTCTGTGAGCCAAGTTTGGTTCAATTCCATCATTGGTGGAGTTCAGAATGCTCTTTGATTGTAGGTGAACTACAAATCCCAGCAACTACAACTCCCAAATGTCAAGTTCTATTTTCCCCAAACTCCACCAGTGTTCACATTTGGGCATATTGAGTATTTGCGCCAAGTTTGGTCCAGATCTATCATTGTTTGAGTCCACAGTACTCTATGGATGTGGGTGAACTACAACTCCAAAACTCAAGGTCAACAGCCACCAAACTTTTCCAGTATTTTCTGTTGGTTATGGGAGTTCTGTGTGCCAAGTTTGGTTCAATTCCATCTTTGGTGGAGTTCAGAATGCTCTTTGATTGTAGGTGAACTATAAATCCCAGAAACTACAACTCCTAAATGACAAAATCAACACCTCCACAACCCCACCAGTATTCAAATGTGGGCATATCGGGTATTTGTGCCAAATTTGGTTCCATGAATGGAAACAAATCCTACATATCAGATATTTACATGACAATTCATAACAGGAGCAAAATGACAGATTTGCAGTAGCAATGAAAATAATGTTATGTTTGGGGGTCAACACAACATGAGGAACCCATATATTCTTCATAAATGTATTCAGGTGAAAGTATGATGTTGACCGAACTGAAGGCCAATTTCTTACATCACCCGTTTCCTTTTTCGCTTAGAGACATATTTCAATAATTATTTGTATAAGAATACAAACAGAAAACAAAACGTTTTATTAACAGCTTTGAACACAGCTTCAACGGACCAGGTCAACAAAACTCAACACAAGAACCAAGCCCACCTTAGACTGGCTTCCAATTCATTTCCATGTCCCTGTTCTCCGATCCAAGGAATGCTGGGAACTGTAGTTTGTGCCCGTGTCAAGGAAATTGGACACTCATAGTAGGCACTTGGCAGCCATAGAGTTCCCAGAATCCTTTGCACCAGGGCAACAGGGAATGAGCGGTAAGAGTTGTGTAACCAAGGCATACCCGCACGGAGAGGAGGAGGAGGAGGTGGTGGGCAACAGCTGGCGTTTCCTCAACTTCTCTTACGTTGTTGACATGGCCCTCTAGGTTTGCTCTGGTCCCCAAAGATGGCAGGTTTCTCCAAACAGTCTTGGCTCCCATGCAAACAAAGGGTGGGCCGCTCCCTTTCCTGCCCATCTTCCCCTTTTTGCCGACAGAAAGAGAGAAGAACCCACCGTCGTGCAGAGCAGTTTTCAAGAAGAGGAGGAGGAGGAGGCTTCCCACTGGCGGAAAATCCGGAAGACCTTACGGGATTTCGCGGAGAGATTCTGCAACAGGGAGAGAGGAGAGGCATTCCTTCAGGCAGAGCTTCCCAAACTTTTCATGTTGGGGACACGCTTCTTAGACATGCATCCATTCACAACCCCTTATAGGAGATTCATACTATCTCTCAATATATATATCTAGCCGTCCCCATGTTGATGTGGCCCAGTCTGTGTATATGTGTTTTGGGTGTGTATATATTTGTGCATATGTGTATATATGTGGTTCTGTGCATGCATTGTAATGTACTTTTTATTTTTGGCTTTAAGGTCCCTTCTGCTGTGTTTTTCAGTGTTTTTATGAGTGATGGTCACTCGTTGGTCTGTTAGGGGTGTAGTGTCCAAATCTGGTGTCAATTTGCCCAGTGATTTTTGAGTTATGTTAATCCTACAAACTAACATGACATTTTTATTTATATAGATACTAGCTGTACCAACCTTGCTGTGGCCAACCTTCCCTCCCTCTTTCTCTCCTTCCTTCCCTTCCTCTTTCCTTCCTTCCATCTCCCCCCCCCCCTACTTCTTTCTCCCTTCTCTACCTGTTTCTTTTCTCACTTCCTTTGCTCTTTGGTTCCATCCTTCCTTGCCTCTTCTCTTTCTCTTTCGTTCCTTCTCTCCTTCCTTCCTTCCTTCTCTACCTTTCCTTCCTTCTCTTCTTCCCTCCTTTTCTCCTTCCTTCCTTTTCTCCTTCCTTTCTTTCTGTGGGTTTTGTGTGTGCATATATTTGTGCATGTATTTCTGTATATATTTGTGTATATGTGTATACATGTGTGTTTGTGTATATATGTGGTTTTGCGCATGCATTGTAATGTGTGTGTGTGTGTGTGTGTATATATATATATATATATATATACACACCATATATTCTGGCGTATAAGACTACTTTCTAACCCAAGAAATCTTCTCAAAAGTCAGGGGTCGTCTTATCCGTGGGAGTAGTCTTATACATGAGAGTCGTCTTATATGTGGGAGTAGTCTTATACGCAGGGGGTCATCTTATAGAGCGAGTGCTGAAACTTCCAATCCAGATTGGAGAATCTGTGGTTGCTGCATATTGTGGGGGGAGCTCAAAAATGGCAGTGGCCGCGTCCCTGCCATATGCAGCGACTGTATGAAAGCATTAAGGGCACCGCTGTACAAGTACGGTAGAAGAAAATCCATTCATCAGGATTCGTGGACTTAATGTTGTCCCGATGGTGAGGTGAAGGGGAAATCACCGTATTGAAATCAAATCTGATGCTTTTAAAATTTTTATTTGGTGTGTGTTGGAAGAGGGGTAGTCTTATACGGCGAGTATATGCCAAACTCTATATTTTAACTGGAAAAGTTGGGGGTCGTCTTATACGCCCTGTCGTCTTATTTATTTATTTATTTACTTTGCTTATATACCGCTGTATCTCAAGCCCGAAGGCGACTCACAGCGGTTCACAAACAGTAAAAACAGTAGAACCAGCAGTGGTTCCATACAACATATAACAATTGACTTAACACATTATCCATAAATTACCAATAAGCAATTACAATGCACAATTATTACAAAAAACAACCGTACCCAATCTTCTCATCATCCAAGCGTAGTCCAGGTTCGTCGTCCATTGTTCCATTCCTATGTTCCATTACCAGATTGCACTAAATTACTCAAACGCCTGCACAAACATCCAGGTCTTCACCTTTTTGCGGAATACCATTAGAGATGGTGCTAGTCTAATGTCCGTAGGAAGGGCATTCCACAGCCGAGGAGCCACCACCGAGAAGGCCCTATCTCTCGTCCCCGCCAGCCGAGCTTGAGAAGCAGGCGGGATCGAGAGCAGGGTCTCCCCGGAAGATCTCAAACTCCTGGTGGGTTCATAGGCAGAGATGCGGTCAGATAGGTAGCTTGGGCCGGAACCGTTTAGGGCTTTAAAGGCTAACGCCAGCACTTTGAATTCAGCCCGGTAGCAGATCGGTAGCCAGTGGAGTTGGCGCAACAGGGGGGTTGTATGCTCCCTGCGCTCCGCTCCTGTTAAAATCATGGCTGCCGAGCGTTGGACTAGTTGGAGCTTCTGAGCTGTCTTCAAAGGCAACCCCACATAGAGAGCGTTGCAGTAGTCTAAACGGGATGTAACCAGAGCGTGGACTACCGTGGCCAAGTCAGACTTCCCAAGGTACGGGCGCAGCTGGCGCACAAGCTTTAGCTGTGCAAATGCTCCCCTGGTCACCGCCGAAACCTGGGGTTCCAGGCTCAGCGATGAATCCAGGGTCACACCCAAGCTGCGAACCTGCGTCTTCAAGGGGAGTGCGGCCCCATCCAACACAGGCTGTAACCCTATGCCCTGTTCGGCCTTGCGACTGACCAGGAGTACCTCTGTCTTGTCTGGATTCAATTTCAATTTGTTCGCCCTCATCCAGACCGTCACAGCGGCCAAGCACCGGTTCAGGACCTGGACAGCCTCCTTAGTAGCAGGTGGAAAGGAGTGACAGAGTTGGACATCATCCGTGTACAGATGATACCGTGCACCGAAACTCCGGATGATCTCCCCCAGCGGCTTCATGTAGATGTTAAACAACATGGGAGACAATATTGAGCCCTGAGGAACCCCACAAGACAATGGTTGTGGGGTTGAACAGGTGTCCCCCAACAACACCTTCTGAGATCGACCCTCCAGGAATGACCGGAGCCACTGCAAAACAGTACCTCCAAGACCCATCCCCGCGAGGCGTCCCAGAAGGATACCGTGGTCGACGGTATCGAAGGCCGCTGAGAGGTCCAGCAGCACCAACAGGGACACACTCCCCCTGTCGAGCTCCCGGCGCAGATCATCCACTAAGACGACCAAGGCTGTCTCGGTACCATGTCCCGGCCTAAAGCCAGACTGTGCCGGGTCTAGATAATCCGTGTCTACCAAGAATACCTGGAGTTGTGAGGCCACCACACGTTCCAAGACTTTGCCCAAGAAGGGGAATATACCGGAATCTTATATGCCGGAATATACGGTGTATATATATATAGACAGAGAGAGAGGCTTTTTAAGTCTCTTCTGCTGTATTTTTCAGTGTTTTTATGAGTGATGGTCACTTGTTGGCCTGATAGGTGTATTGTTTCAAAATCTGGTGCCAATTCGCCCAGTGGTGTTTGAGTTATGTTAATCCCACAAATGAACATTACATTTTTATTTATATAGATAATATAAAATATAAATGGCGTAGCGGGTTAAACTGCTGAACTGCTGAACTTGCTGACCGAAAGGTTGGCAGTTTGAATCCGGGGAGCAGCATGAGCTCCTGCTGTTAGCCCCAGCTTCTGCCAACCTAGCAGTTCGAAAACATGCAAATGTGAATAGATCAATAGGTGCCGCTCCAGCAGGAAGGTAACAGCGCTTCATTCAGTCATGCTGGCCACATGACCGTGGAGGTGTCTATGGACAATGACATAGAAATGGAGATGAGCACCAGAGTCCCAGAGTCGGACACGACTGGTCTTAACGTCAAGGGGAAACCTTTACCTTTGCTATGGCAACTCAACAAATTGTGCACATTATGATCCTTCTAACTGTTCCTATACTTGAACAACTCCAGCACCCCACTTTGGTAGTGACTGATTCTCTCTGGAGGTTTTTAAAAAGAGACTGGATGGCTATCCATGGGTGCTTTGCCTGTGTCTTCCTGCCTGGCTGCAGGGGGCTGGACTAGATGCCCTTTAGGGGCCTCGCCCAGTTGTAGTGACGCACAGACTGCATGGGAATCCAATGGGATCTCCTTCCCTGGAGATTTTTGAACTGAAGCTGGATGGCTGTCTGTTGGGAGGGCCTCGATTGGGTTTTCCTGCCTGACTGAAGAAGATTGGTTGCAGATGACAGGCGACGTGCTAGTGTGTCACAACGCACAATTTGGAAAGCGCTGCCTTAAAGCGAGGCTTCGTAAAGCTTTCCCTCTCGGGGCCCCTTTCCACCAGATGAATGTTTACATGACCCCAGGTATGTAGGCATATCAAATTGGTATAAACATCAGGCATTTAATGATTTTTTTGTGTCTCAGGAGCAACCTGAGAAACTTCAAGTCGCTTCTGGGTGTGAGAGAATTGGCCGTCTGCAAGGATGTTGCCCAAGGGATGTTGCCCGGATGTTTGAAGTTTTACCACCCTTGTGAGAGGCTTCTCTCATGGCCCTTAATGGGGAGCTGGAGCTGACAGATGGAGCTCTTCCACACTCTCCCCAGATTGAAACCTGCGACCTGTCAGTCTTCAGTCCTGCCGGCAGGAGGGTTTAATCCATTGTGCCATTTGCAGGAGTTGCTTGTAATGTATAATGCTGGCAGACTGGTGTAGAATGGACATTGCAACAGAACTATGTATCCCAGAACTGGTAAGCCCTACCAAAGTTGCACTTCTTCAACTCTTACTGGACAATGTAGGATCTCTGGCAAAAGGTGACAAAGGGTAGCCTTCAAACCAGTGCAACTCTCAGTCAATAGTAAGCAATCGTGGGAGCTACAGCCTTGTCTCGAGGGCCAAGTTTTGCCCATTGCACTCTATGGAGAAGACGCCATGTCCCAATCCAGAGTCCCCACCAACCCCATAACGGGAAAGGCTCACCTCGGAATCTGCATCCGCCAGCCCCTCCGACTGCTTGGTCGCCAAGATCGCCTTAAGCACCGCTTGCCATCCGAGGGCGGCCTTCCCTTCTTCAACTTGGTTCCCAGCCTCCGCTTCGAGTTCCGGCCTCTCTTTCACCACATTGACCCAAGGGCACCAGTCGCGGTGCTGGGAGACGGGGTCAAACACACTCCGGGCGCATGAATCCTGGAGAGGGAAAGCATTTTCAGTGGGTGAGAGAGGCTGCCCAGGGCCACGCAGGGGAAAGACTGTAATAAGAAATTCAATGTGCAAATTTGATAAATGTGAATTTTATATGATCTATGTGAATGTGTGTGTGTGTGTGTGTGTGTGTGATTTGAACCCATTTCCAACTTCATCCTGTGCTGAAAAGCAATGTTTGCAATTCCTTTTCCCCATAACATCAATTCTCTTCAAATGAGCAAATTCTGTGACTCAATTTCCCCAAATTCCCAAATAACTTTGTTGTTCCAGAAGTCTGAGACTTACAGCTCTGGTCTCTGAAATAACTTGCAGCATTGCTTAATCCCATTATCACCTTTATCTTAATGTTTCTCTTCTGTTTCTCTTTAAACTCTTCAAACTTATAAATCACAACAATATATGCACACTGTTCAAAATTAATTTTGTCAAACTCATGGCAATTTCTTCATCAGGTCTTCTTTTGAGTTGGTAGCTACATTTAGATTCCTCTAAACTTAAACAAATTATTTTAATTGATCGCTTGTGCCAGCCTTGATTCCACCTCTCCAGCTCTCCTGTAATCAGTAACTTAGATAAACAGACAGAATTAACAAAAGTTAACTCTTCCAGATAAAGACTCCCAAATTGGTTGTAACAAATTCCTTCTTAAAAATCTCTTTGTATCTATTTCATTTTTCTCTTTTGCAATAACAAAACTTTCACCCAATTTATTATATTTTGTAGGAAATACAAAAGAACTTGGATTTTCAAACAAAACTTTCCCAAAATAACACAAAACCCCATTTACTAGGCTGACCAAAGGGCTGATCAGACTACTACTGAACCAAAATGCAACTCATCTGCCTTTACCGATTTGCAAAATCATAACTACAATTACCTTTTTATTTAACCATAAAGTACCCCCTCTAGATAATATAATAATACCATTTTGTAACAAGCACCCCACTGTTCTTTCGCTTCAATTGGCTTCCCGCTACACGGCAGTGATACCAACTTCTCCCATGAAAATTCCCCGTGAGAGCTACGTGCCTTGTAACCTTACTTTTCAAAGAACCCTCGTAAAGCACGAACTTCACACTTGGAGGGAAATGGAATGAGTATACTCATCTCTAACTTTCACCACAACACCAGTCGATGAGCTACTGATGACTGGCACTGCTCGTTCACTTCAATTGGCTTCCCACTACATGGCAGTGATACCAACTTCTCCCATGAAACTTCCCCACGAGAGCTACGTGCCTTGTAACCTTACTTTTCAAAGAACCCTCGTAAAGCACGAACTTCACACTTGGAGGGAAATGGAATGAGTATACTCATCTCTAACTTTCACCACAACACCAGTCGATGAGCTACTGATGACTGGCACTGCTCGTTCGCTTCAATTGGCTTCCCGCTACACGGCAGTGATACCAACTTCTCCCATGAAACTTCCCCACGAGAGCTACGTGTCTTGTAACCTTATTTTCCAAAGAACCCTCGTACAGCGCGAACTTTGCACTTGGAGGGAAATGGAATGAAGATAGTCATCTCCAACCTTCACCACAACTCCAGTCAATGAGCTACTGATGACTGGCACTGCTCGTTCGCTTCAATTGACTTCCCTCTACACGGCAGTGATACCAACTTCTCCCATGAAAATTCCCTGCGAGAGCAACGTGCCTTGTAGCCTTACTTTCCAGAGAACCCTCGTACAGCACGAACTTCACACTTGGAGGGAAATGGAATGAGGATACTCATCTCTAATTTTCACCACAACACCAGTCAATGAGCTACTGACAACTGGCACTGCTCGTTCGCTTCTGCTGGCTTCCTGCTATATGGCAGTGATACCAACTTCCCCTGAGAAAATTCCCTGTGAGAGCCATGTGCCTTGTAACCTTACTTTCCAGATAACCTCATGTATGTATGTATGCATATGTGTGTGTGTGTATATATATATATATGCCTGGAGCTACATTTTGTAAATGTCCCTGTTCTGACTTACATACAAATTCAACTTAAGAATAAGCCTACAGGATTGGTTTTGTTTATAACTTGGGGACTGCCTGTAGTGCCAAATTGCAGATGCACCCAAATAGTAAAGGAACCCCTTCTCTTGCACAGGGACTCTGCTAACATGTGGCCATGATGCTAAGCAGGTCTCCCAAGCCTTTCTGCCTGGTGTCCACCTGTGCCACCATCTCACCGTGCTGCTGGAGGAGCAGAGCCGGGGCCGCTTGGCCTTCCGGAGGGGGCTGGAAGGGACTTCTGCCCCGTGACCGCCAGAGTCTCCTTGTCCCATGCTGCGGGTGACGGGACGGCTGCGAGGGCTGGGGACGGGGCTGGCCGACTCCGGGTCCCCGCGTTCGCCGGAGCTCGTGCTGTCCCAGCTGCGCATGCGGCTGATCACGGGGGAAGGGCTCTTCTCCTGCTTAGAAAATGTTGAAAGAGAGAGGAGACACCACAATTCACAAACTACAGCTGTCATGGAACAACCCCAGCCCTCCCTCCAGATGTTCTGGACTGATGATGAGACAAGGATGGAGGCCTACCTGCTCCGATCCCGGCGGGAGAGTCGTGTCACGGCTTCGGGTCATCATGCGCCGGGGAGAGGTGGGCACCGTGGGGCTGGCCTTGTCGGAGGAGCGCCCCTCTGGAGCAGCAAGGCTTGGGGAGGCTTCTGTCTCCGACGGGGCGGATTCAATTTGGTGGAAGCTCCATAGGCCTGCCTTCCTCATGCAGCGGCAGCAGGAGATCAAGGGGAGCTGGACGGACCCAGAAGATGGGCTGAGTGGGGAAAGCAAGGCAAGAGACACACAACTCTCAACATAATAAAGAAGGAGTCAGGTGCTGGGTACCACAATACAAGGCATTAGTGAGTTAATGGCAACTTACTATTGCCTAGAAAGATCTCTCCAGCTACTGCAAAGATAACCACATGAAGCCTAACCCTACCAAGACACAAGTGTGTGCTTTCCACCTACGGAACCATGACGCCAACAGGAAATTGAAAGCTACCTGGGAAGGTCAAGAGCTTGAACACTGTTTCCATCCTAAATATCTCTGTGTCACCTTAGATCACATCTCACCATACTAAAACACATCTCACCACACTAAAACAGTGGATGTGGCTCTAAATGAAACATGCCGCATTATCACGGGGTGTCTGCGCCCTACACCACTGGAGAAATTGCCCTGCTTAGCTGGTATTGCACCACCTGACATCCGCCGGGAAGTAGCAGCCAATAGTGAAAGGACCAAGGCAGAGACATCTCCAGCTCATCCCCTGTTTGGGTATCAGCCAGCACGTCAACGACTTAAATCAAGACATAGTTTTCTTAGATCTACAGAGACACTTGCTGGAACACCTCAGCAAGCAAGAGTCCAAAAGTGGCAGGCTCAAACCCAGAACCTCAATCAATGGCTGATACCAAATGAGAGACTCCCCCCTGGGCACACAGAAAACTGGGCGACTTGGAACGCGCTGAACAGACTGCGCTCTGGCACCACGAGATGCAGAGCCCAAAATGGGGCTACAAAGTGGAATCCACGACATGTGAGTGCGGAGAAGAGCAAACCACTGACCACCTGCTGCAATGCACCCTGAGCCCTGACACATGCACAAGGGAGGACCTTCTTGCAACAACACCAAAAGCACTCCAAGGGGCCAGATATTGTTCAAAGGACATTTAATCAACTACCAAACTCACAAATTTTGTATTTTGCCTGTTTGTTTGCTTTGTTCTGTTAGAAATGTAATATAATTGACTGGTTGCCTTGACATGACAAAAATATCCTTAGATCGAACACTAACATATAGGGAACACTGCAAAAACCTCACAACCTCTGAGGATGCTCGCCACAGATGCAGGCAAAACGTCAGGAGAGAATGCTTCTAGAACATGGCCATACAGCCCGAAAAACTTACAACAACCCACTGCAAGCACAAAGTAACTGCATGCAATAACATCCTGCGGAAATTTATTGACAGCACATAGGGTGCAGACTCAAAATTAATAAGAACATCAGCCCTGGCCTTGTTTTACTCTGAGAAGACATCTCCAGGCCTTGCATGATTCTCCAAAGCAATTCTATGGAAGTTGAGCAGAGAACTGCACTGGACAACCTAGAAATCCTAGCAGAGAACATTTTTTTCAGTTGTATGTAGACTAGCAGTGGCAAAGGGAAACACAGCAATTTGTAAATAACTAGATTCTGGAATGCCTAGTCTGCAAAAATGGAGGGACACCTGTTTTTGTTTTCCAGTGCTCGGATCTTCAAATTGATGTTGGAGCCTTTTTGGGGAAAGGACACCAGCAGGAAAGGTACAATTAGAGGTCATTCTGGTTGAAAGGGCAACTGTGGCCCAGCTGGGGTGCAGACTATGACCCCATCTACACAGACCACTTAATGCAGTTTATTTTTTTATTTATTTACAGTATTTGTATACTGCTTTTCTCACCCCGAGGGGGACTCAAAGCGGTTTACACTTAAGTAATGGCAAAATTCAATGCCAGTACAAACAATTGCAATTATACACTACAACTCGACATAAATTAAGTTAAAAACAGTACATCCACAAGCAATAAAACTATCATTATAACAAAACAGTCTCATCCGTCGAATCACAATTCCAGTCATTGTCTTTCTGAATTGCTCCATACATTTACCTCTAAAATTTTAATTTTTTTCTAAAAGCCAGGAGGGAGGATCTTACCTCATTTGGGAGTGTGTTCCATAGGCAGTGGACCACAGCCGAGAAGGCCCTGTCTCTCGTCCCCGCCAGACGCATCTGTGCTGTTGACGGGAGCAAGAGCAGGGCCTCCCCAGGTGATCTTAGATTACGAGGTGGGACATAGGGGTGGATGCATTTGAACAAGTAAGCTGGGCCAGAACCGTATAATATAATATATTATATTACATTATATTATCATTATCATTATTAATATAATAATTATTATTTATATAATATATAATAGTATGTATTTATATATAATTATTGTATATATAATATAATTATTATTACTACATTATATTACATTATATTATAAGCATAGCATAGTAATATTGATATTATGTGATACAATATAATACTAATAATAATATGATATTATAATTATATATTTTATATTACATGTAGTATTACTAATAATATTATAGCGTAATAGTATAGTACAATATAGTATAATACTAATATTGTGGCTACAGTAATAATATAATATATTGTATTTACATATTACTTGTAAGCCTCTCTGAGTCCCCTTCGGGGTGAGAAGAGTGGCATATAATAAATGTCGTAAATAAATAAAAAATAAATATATCAAGCCAGGATTGGTCTGCGAATGGGCTGCACTTCTGCCCACTTCCACTTTTGCCAACGTACCTGCTAGTCCAGCCGCACAGGGCCAAGACGCAAGCCGTGATGTGGATCTGGAGGAGGTCCGAAGGCTTTCGCGATGGCGTTTTCTCCCCGTCTGTCTTGCAGTCCGCTTCCTCTTCAATCAGCTGCAGCAAGTGGCTGATCTTCTCTTCTGTCAAAGACTGGCAAACCAGTACAGAAGTAACAACATTCAATTAATTTACAGCAGGCATGGGTCAACTTCGGCCCTCCCTCCAGGTGTTTTGGACTTCAACTCCCACAATTCCTAACAGCCGGTAGGCTGTTAGGAATTGTGGGAGTTGAAGTCCAAAACACCTGGAGGGAGGGCCGAAGTTGGCCCATGCCTGGTGTAAACATCCTATTGGCTGTTACGAATTGTGGGAGTTGAAGTCCAAAACACCTGGAGGGAGGGCCGAAGTTGGCCTATGCCAGGTGTAAACATCCTATCGGCTGTTTGGAATTGTGGGAGTTGAAGTCCAAAACACCTGGAGGGAGGGCCAAAGCTCACCATGCTTTAGAGATCCCTCACCTGGAGGGAGGGCCAAAACATACCATGCTTTTGAGATCTTCTGGCTTCAAGGAGGGCAGCTGAAGCTCCAGGTGGCACAAGCTTTGGAAACGCTCCAGGAAGTCGCTGCGGAGGGCAAGGGGCTCGTCCACCAGCAAGACCGAAAAGCGATCTAATGAAGGCGAAACGGAGCAGAACGAGGCATCACTGGGTGTATCCCTTCACCAGCGATGATGCAAATGCAGCAAACCCTGTATTTCATTCTGGTGAACATTATTACAAAAGGTGACTACATTTGAGAGCCACTCTCCCTTGACTACTACTTCAGGTACTGGTATTGCACCACCTGACATCCGCCGGGAAGTAGCAGCCAATAGTGAAAGGACCAAGGCAGAGACATCTCCAGCTCATCCCCTGTTTGGGTATCAGCCAGCACGCCAACGACTTAAATCTAGAAATAGTTTTCTAAGATCTACAGAGACACTTGCTGGAACACCCCAGCAAGCGAGAGTCCAAAGGTGGCAGGCTCGAACCCAAAACCTCAATCTATGGCTGATACCAAATGAGAGACTCCCCCCTGGGCACACAGAAGACTGGGCGACTTGGAAGACGCTGAACACCACGAGATGCAGAGCCAACCTTAAGAAATGGGGCCACAAAGTGGAATCCACGACATGCAAGTGCGGAAAAGAGCAAACCACTGACCACCTGCTGCAATGCGACCTGAGCCCTGCCACATGCACAAGGGAGGACCTTTTTGCAGCAACACCAGAAGCACTCCAAGTGGCCAGATACTGGTCAAAGGACATTTAATCAACTACCAAGCTTGCAAAATTTGTGTCTTGTTTGTTTGTTTGTTTGTTTGTTTGTTAAAAAATGCAATACAACTGTTTGGTTTGCTCCTGACACGATAAATAAATATTGCTTTCTTTCAAGCCATGCCATGCAGAGAATAATAGAAACACAGAGTAGGAAGAGACAAATACGGTTGTCCAGCCCAACTCCATTCAGCCAGGCAGGAAAACACAATGAAAGCACTCCCAACAGATGGCCAACAAGCTGCTGATTTAAAAACTCTAAAGGAGATTCCACCTTATTCAAAGATAGTGTATTCCCCTGCTGGATAGCTATGATCAGGAGGTCCTTCATAACATTTAGGTGGATGTTAATGTGGTTGTTAGCCATCTTACGTCCTTAATGAGAGAATGGCAAAATAGAAATAAACACCACCAACAACATCAACAACAGTATTTTTGTCCTGTAAATGGATCTGTTGCTCCATTATGTCCTAATCTTTAGAGAGAGAGAGAGAAAAATGCATGCAGATCCCAGTAAGGTGGCCTTTTGTAGCTGGCAGATGGCAATCTTGTCAGCGCCAATTGTGTTTAAGTGCAGGCCAAGGTCTTTAGGCACTGCACCCAGTGTGCCGATCACCACTGGAACCCCCTTGACTGGCTTGTGCCAGAGTCTTTGCAGTTAGATCTTTAAATCCTCATATCATGTCATCTTTTCCAATTGTTTCTCTTCAATTCTGCTGTCGCCTGGGATTGCAACATCTACAATCCATACTTGGTTTTTTAACACAATCATGAGGTCTGGAGTATTTTGCTCCAAAACCCTGTCTGTCTGAATCCGGAAGTCCAAATATTATTATTATTATTATTATTATTATTATTATTATTATTATATTAGTAGCTATATTCAGCTCCCTCCTCTGCTCCTCAAATGGATTCACCATTTCCAGACCTTTGGCCATTTTGGCTGCCCTCTTCTGGATGACTTTAATGATTAATAATAATAATAATAATAAGTAATTAGTATTAATAGTAATTATTATTATTTTACTGACACAAAAGCACAGTATGTCGCAGCAAATGAGATCTCTATGCTGGATTTTGTATCAAAAAATCGCAAGTCGAACACTTCCCAAGCGTCTAGGACTGTGTGATGTATTATTATTATTATTATTACTATTATTATTATTTGAAACACAACAAGATGAGTCCACAGCAGACACTCTGCTGGCTGTTGAATTGGATCACACGTCTAGGACTGTGTGATGTATCGGCAAATCGTTATTATTATTATTATTATTATTATTATTATATAATCATCATCATCATTACTATTTGCTGATACATCACACAGAGCTATATTCAGCTCCCTCCTCTGCTCCTCAAATGGATTCATCATTTCCAGACCTTTGACCATCTTGGCCACCCTCTTCTGGATAACTTCCAGCCAGTCAATCTATATATATAAATTTCCTCCTGGCGTCGTATGAGGAAACAAAACTCTAAAACCCCCCAACGAAACTCCACCAAACTTCCCATGCCCCAAGGGCAACCAACAAGGTACAAACTAAGCCAGTCAGAAATCAAAAACACACAACAACAATCACAATAAACGGCAAAGCAACTGAGCATGCGCACTGGCGCAAACTCCCTGGCGCGCGCACACACATGGCCCCTCCCCCCCCCCGGCGCGGCACACACACGCGCGCGCGCACGGCCCCTCCCCCCCCGGCGCGGCACACACACACACGCGCGTGCCCCCCCCCCCGCGGCACACACGCGCGCGCGCACGCGCCCCCTCTCCCCCCTCCGGCGCGGCACACACACACATGCACACACACGCGCGCACGCGCCCCCTCACCCCCCGGCGCGGCACACACGCACACATGCGCGCGCGCCCCCTCACACCCCCCGGCGTGGCACACGCGCGCGCGCCCCCTCTCCCCCCTCCGGTGCGGCACACGCACGCGCGCCCGCGCGCCCCCTCACTCCCCTGGCGCGGCACACACGCGCGCGTGTGCGCCCCCTCTCCCCCCCGCGCGGCACACACGCGCGCGCGCGCCCCCATCCCCCCTCCCCTCCTCCCTCTTACCCTCCTCACGTTACCTCCAAGTCACGCAGGAAAGATGGAAAGAGAGAAGGAAGAAAAGAGAGACTGCAGAAGAGAAAAAGGAAGAAGGAAGGAAAGAGGGAGCGAAGGAAGGGGATAAAATGTTGAGAAAGAGGGAGGGAAAGAAAGGGGGAAAGAGAGAAGGAAGAAAAGAGAGACAGCAGAAGAGAAAGAAAAAGGGGGAAGGAAGGAAAGCGATAGAGAAGGAAGGAAGGAGAGAAGGAAAGACGGGAAGGAAGGAAGGAAACAGGGAGTGAAGGAAGGAGGGAAAGAAGGGGAGATAGGGGGAAGGTTGGCCACAGCAACGCGTGGCGGGTACAGCTAGTATCATATATTTCTCCTAAACCCACAACTCTTGCAGGAGGCCCAGGTTTCGTAGGGATGTAAGAACATGCCTCAGTCTTTTCTGCAAAAGTAGTACAGATCGAGTATCCCTTACTTGGAATTTCAAAAAACTCCAAAATTGTCCACATGGGCAGCTGAGATTGCAACACTGTTAACTTTCAATACCAACATCTGGACTCAGCAAAGTGCCACCTTCGGTCCACTCCCAGGTGGTCCTTTCACATACCTGGGCAGGGATTGTCTGGCCAAAAGCAGAACTTTTCATGTGCCGTTGTCAAAGCTTTCTTCAACTCCAAACACCTCTCTTTGTCTGGAAGAGAAACACACCTCGTGAACAACGGCAGTTCCCAAGACAGAGAACAACCCTGAGAAGCAGGTTTCCATATTTGATATGATAGACTCAGAGTTTCACTACTATTGATACACGGTACTACTTTTTTTTTTTTTTACCAGATATACATTTAAAGCAGTAAAAAGATGCTGGTAATACTCCACTTCCAGGCTCAGAAGCAACACAACAACAACAACAATTATTATTATTATTTATACCCCGCTCCATCTCCCCCAGGGGGACTCGGGGCGGCTTACATCAGTACAGTAAACACAATATTACACAAAAGCACAACAAAGCCAGAAAATAAAATATATAAAATGCAAAACCAAAATAATAAACAACACAGCAATATAAAATCAAACATTAAAACACAAAAGATTACGCTGGGCAGGGCCAAATTCAAAGATAAAATTTTAAAACACTGGGAAATAGGACAATATAAAGATTGCCAGTGTGGGGGCTTGCCTAATATCTCTGGGGAGTGAATTCCAGAGCCGGGGGGGCCACCACAGAGAAGGCCCTCTCTCTCGTCCCCACAAGTCGCACTTGCGATGCGGGTGGGAGCAAGAGAAGGGCCTCTCCGGAAGATCGAAGAGGTCGTGTGAGTTCGCAGACGGAAATTCGGTCACGCGGGTAGGCGGGTCCCACAACTATGACTTTCAGTTGCTGGGGAACACATCAGTGCTACTGTATTTTGTTATGTGTTGATGCTCTAAAGAGTTGCATGGAGGGCCCAAGTTTGCCCATGCCTGATCTACACCTTAGAATGTATGCAGTTTGACACTACTTTAACCATCATGGATCAATGCTATAGTATCATGGCAGTTGTAGTTTTATACTCCTTTAGGACAGTTTTAAATGGTGTATTTTAATATTTTGGTAAATGTTTTTAATGTTTATGTATGTATATAAGAATTTGTGTCCCGGTATTGAATGTTTGCCGTATATATGCTGTGCTCTGCCCTGACTCCCCTTCGGGGTGAGAAGGGTCAAATATAAATGTTTTAAATAAATAAATAAATTTACAAGAAAGTGCTATTGATTGAACCAAACTACAACTCCCCATGATTCCATAGCATGGTAGCTGAAGTGGTGCCAAACTGCATTAATTCTACAATGTAGACGCGTTGCAAATTTCCAGTTTCATTGGACATTGTTTAGAAGCATTAAAGGGAATCTTCCCAGTCGTAACTTGCTTTCTTTTCAGCATTTTCAGAATGTTCCCATCTCTACCCAAATGCCACGTTCGCTTGGCACAATCACAGCCTTCTGCAACACACAGAGCGTGCCTTGGGTCTGCTTTTCGATTGGAACACCACCAGGCCTTGTGTTGTTTCTTACATTTGCTGAAGTCGAAGGCTAGTTGCAAACTGGCGCAGAGGTAGGCCTGGCAGCTGGAGCACTTGAGCATGTCGCACTCGACGTTGGTCCATCCGTACTTGGCACAGATCAGCGGGGAGAGCTCGTGGGGTTTGCCTGCCCACTTGAGGGAGTGCCGCCGTTAAGGAATGGAAACAGATAGGCTTCAAAAAGGTCTGGTGTGACCACAGGGAGTCCATTTTCACAGAGGCCTGGGGGCAGGAAAATGTGAAATCGCCCCTTTTAATCTGAGAAAACACCTCTCCAGGAATCTCTAGGTCCTCCAGGGTGAGTCCATGGTCAACATCCACTAAAGATTCCAAAATGGCATGGATTTTTACTCAATTTCTTAATAGGACAAGGTAAAGGTTTCCCCTTGACATTACGTCTAGTCATGTCCAACTCTGAGAGGTAACGCTAATCTCAAATTCTAAGCCAAAGAGATGTTGTTGTCCATAGACACCTCCAAGGTCATGTGGCCAGCATTTTATTTTATTTTTTGTTGTGTCAGGAGCAGGTCGCTTCTGGTGTGAGAGAATTGGCCATCTGCAAGGACGTTGCCCAGGGGACGCCTGGACGATTTTTGATGTTTTTATCATCCTTGTGGGAGGCTTCTCTCATGTCCCCGCATGAGCTGGAGGTGACAGAGGGAGCTCATCCACACTCTCCCTGGATTCGAACCTCTGACCTGTTGGTCTTCAGTCCTGCCGGCACAAGGGTTTAACCCATTGCACCACCAGGGGCTCCACAATAATAATAATAATCCAAATTTAATATTTCACACCAATAATAATAATAATAATAATAATAATAATAATAATAATAAAAAATATGGATGAAATCTGGGAATAACCAGATCTGTAAAAATTAAACCCACAAATGTGGAGGGCCGACTATTTTCAACTTCTACATGCTCAGGTGTGTTTTAATTTGTTACACGGTTTAACATCCTTGAAGACTGGTTATAATTGACTGTTTGAATTCATAGAATCATAGAATCCTAGAGTTGGAAGGGACCTCCTGGCCCATCCAGTCCAACCCCATTCTGCAAGAAGCAGGAATATTGCATTCAAATCACCCCTGACAGATGGCCATCCAGTCTCTGTTTAAAAGCTTCCAAAGAAGGAGTCTCCACCACACTCCGGGGCAGAGAGTTCCACTGCTGAACGGCTCTCACATTGTTGTACATGAGTTCATTTGCTTCAGAGGGTGTGGCCAGGTGTGCACCAAAGGTTATTAAACTCCAGGGCTTGTGTTTCTTGCAAAGCTATTTGAATCCTTAACAGGTAAAAATATTTATTTTAAATACTTCTGTATTAGCTCTTAGTCTAGAAGGGCTCTGCAGGTGATGAACCAATTAAAATAAATAAAATAGTGGAGAGATTAAAGACGGTAAGTTGTTTTTTAAAAAAGGGGTCAAGGTTATTAAAAGCAGGTGGTGATGAGTCCTTCACCCTGAGCATATCATTGATTCCACAGTCACAGTAAACAGTAGGAAAGGATATGGTGAAGGTTTCTACTCTGTTGAAGTAGGCTTCTTTGCTGGTGGCTTCAAAAGGCAGCTCTTCTGTTTTGGGAGATCCATTTGACACTTCATATAAGGCAGACAAATCCTTCCTGAAATGCAAAAAAGAGGCCACAAAACATGGTAAATTTCCTATTCACGGCATCAACAAAGACTAGTTTCCCGTTTTAAAAACGCTACGAATGTCCATGAAAGCTCAAACCAAAACAATCTGGGCCTGTGGAGCCAGGATCTCTACACATGGCAATAACAATCCACCAAGGCTGATATCAAAAACAAAGTAGGTGATCTCTTTCAGCGTAAAATCTATATAAATAAAAATGTAATGTTCGTTTGTGGGATTAACATAATTCAAAAACCACTGGGTGAATTGGCACCAAATTTGGCCATAAGAAACCTACTAACCCAAGGAGTTAAAAAAATAATTTTGTCATTTGGGAGTTGTAGTTGCTGGGATTTATAGTTAACCTACAATCAATCAAAAAGCATTCCGAACTCCACCAATGATGGAATTGAACCAATCTTGGCACACAGAACTCCTATGACAAACAGAGAATACTGGAAGGGTTTGGTGGGCATTGACCTTGAGTTTGGGAGTTGTAGTTCACCTACATCCAGAGAGCACTGTGGACCCAAACAATGATGGATCTGGACCAAACTTGGCACAAATACTCCACATGTCCAAATATGAACACAGATGGAGTTTGGGGGAAATAGACTTTGACATTTGGGAGTTGTAGTTACTGGGATTTATAGTTCACCTACAATCAAAGAGCATTCTGAACCCCATGAACGAGAGAATTGGGGCTAACTTCCTACACAGAACTCCCATGACCAACAGAAAACACTTAAGGCCATCCAGCCCAACTCCCTTCACCAGGCCAAGAAAACGTAATCAAAGCCCTCCTGACAAAGGGCCAACTAGCCATAAATATAGATAGATATATATGATTCACACACAGAGAGATATAGTACCATAGATTTGAAAGGGAGCCCTAAAGAAGGACAATAATACGTTACATGTTCCAGAGTAGGCAAACCAGACAATCTCCACATCAACACTGACAAAGAAACAAGAAATACTGTTTACCCACAAGCATAAAGACATTACATATATTAGAAACCAACATTTTCTCGTTACTTTATTTTCCAGATCACCAGACAGGGCCACAGCAACGCATGGTAGGGGATAGCTTGTAGAAAATTAAAGAAGCTTTTGAGATGAACTGATTTGTTGATATTTCAGGCCCCTTCTTTAGATGAACTTATTCATGAAATGTATTTGTGTAGATTTCCAGGAAAGCTCAAATAAACCAGTCTCAAAGATAGTTCTGGATTAGTTCTTCTGAAAGGAACCATGCAATGTCATCATCATCAAAACAGTTTATTGTACGGGCCCAAGGCCATGACAAAAAGCACCACACACACACACAATAGTACCCTCAGAGTACAGGCACCAAAGATGCTAAACAGAACCATAATTTGCTCCCACAACAAAAACAATGGAAGTTAATAATAGTTAAAATACATTTTAGGAGAGGACCCAGTTAACCCTTAGAATCTCCTTGGCAGTCGATAGCAACTTTATCTAACTCTGTCTTTCTGATCTTTTTTGCAGAGCGAGCAAAAAGGGCTACTTTGTAAGTTACATAGTCATTTGTATCGCCCAGTAGAAACCGCACTGTTTCTGCAATAGTCACATATTGGGGAGAAAGGTGGAAAAGATCTTAGAGTCCTCGTGGACAACAAGTTAAACATAAGCCAACAATGTGATGTGGCGGCAAAAAAGCCAATGGGATTTTGGCCTGCATCAAAAGGAGCATAGTGTCTAGATCCAGGGAAGTCATGCTCCCCATGCTCTATTCTGCCTTGGTTAGACCACACCTGGAATATTGTGTCTAGTTCTGGGCACCACAATTCAAGAGAGATATTGACAAGCTGGAATGTGTCCAGAGGAGGGCGACTAAAATGATCAAGGGTCTGGAGAACAAGCAATATGAGGAGCGGCTTAAAGAGCTGGGAATATTTAGCCTGCAGAAGACAAGGGATTGGGAAAAATATTGGTATTTTGACTGCTAATTTTGAAGATTGTATGTTTCTGTGTATTGTACAATAAAAAAATCTTTAAAAAATTAAAAATCTCTCTTCAATCATGGTGCCCAGAACTGGATACAGTATTCCAGGTGTGGCCTAATCAAGCCATGGTACCTCTATACTCTGGCCAAAACCAAGGTTACAACATCTGCTATAGAATTCCAGTATGCTGATGACAATGTTGTCTGTGTGCATTCAAAAGAAGACCTACCAGCCACTCTAAACACCTTCAAAGAAGCATATGGGAAGCTTGGCCTGTCATTGAACATTGAGAAAACCAAAGTGCTCTTCCAGCAGACACCAGCCAACCCCTCTCCAATGAAAGAAATATGGCTTAATGGTGTAACATTAGAAAATGTTGACCATTTCCACTCCTTTGGCAGCCACCTCTCCACAAAAGTCAACACTGACACTGAAATACAACACCGCCAGAGCTCTGCAAGTGCAGCATTCTTCCACATGAAGCAGAAAGTGTTTGAGATCTGGGACATCCGTAGGGGCTCTTTCATTGAGTCGCATTGAGTCGCCTGACTGGGCTGAAAAATGCGGTATAGAAATAAAGCAAATAAATAATAATAAATTGTGTATTCTGTTTGCCAGGAAATTGGATTAGAAAACTCTTGGATCCCTTTTAATATAGATTAATAGAACTCCAATATGCTGATGACAACGTCATCTGTGCACATTCAGAAGAAGACCTACAAGCCACTCTAAACAGCTTTGCAGAAGCATACGAGAAACTCAGCCTGTCATTGAACATCGAGAAAACCAGTGCTCTTCCAGCAGTCACCAGCCAATCCCTCTCCAATGCCAGAAATACAGCTTAATGATGTAACGTTAGAAAATGTTGACCATTTCCACTACCTTGGCAGCCACCTCTCCACCAAAGTCAACATCAACACCGAAATACAACACCGCCTGAGCTCTGCAAATGAAGCATTTTTCCAAATGAAGTAGAGAGTGTCTGAGGACTGGGACATCCGTAGGGAGACCAAGGTGCTTGTTTATAAAGCTATTGTCCTCCCGACCCTGCTATATGTCTGCGAAACATGGACTGTCTACAGACGTCAACATTGACACCGAAATACAACACCACCTGAGCTCTGCAAATGCAGCATTTTTCTGAATAAAGCAGACAGTGTTTGAGGACCAGGACATCTGCAGGAAGACCAATGTGCTTGTTTATAAAGTTACTAGCTGTCCCCTGCCAAGCGTTGCTGTGGTCCAGTCTGTTGATCTGGAAAATAAAGTAATGAGAAAGTGTTGGTTTTAAAAATATGTAATTTCTTACTGTTTCTTTGTCAGTTTTGAGGAGGAGAGTGTCTGGTTTGCCCACCCTGGTACATGCAACGTATCATTGTCATTCTTTAAGGGTCCCTTTCATATCTATGATACTATATCTGTGTGTGAATCATATCTATAGCTATCTATCTCTATATCTACAGCTGGGTGGCTCTTTGTCAGGAGGACTTTGATTATGTTTTCTTGCCCTGATGAAGGGAGTTGGGTTGGATGGCCTTAAGTATCTTCTGTTGGTTGTGGGTGTTCTGTGTGGAAAGTTTGCCCTGATTCTGTCGTTTGTGGGGCTCAGAATGCTCTTTGATTGTAGGTGAACTGTGAATCCCAGTGACTACAACTCCCAAATGTCAAAGTCTATTTTCTCCAAACTCGACCAGTGTTCACATTTGGACATGTGGAGTATTTGTGCCAAGTTTGGTCCAGATCCATCATTGTTTGGGTCCACAGTGCTCTATGGATGTAGGTGAACTACAACTCCCAAACTCAAGGTCAATGCCCACCAAACCCTTCTAGTGTTTTCCGTTGGTCATGGGAGTCCTGTGTGCCAAGTTTGGTTCAATTCCTTCATTGGTGGAGTTCAGAGTGCTCTTTGATTTTAGCCCCCGGTGGTGCAGTGGGTTAAAGCGCTGAGCTGCTGAGCTTGTTGATCGAAAGGTCGCAGGTTCGATTCCGGGGAGCGGCGTGAGCTTCCGCTGTCAGCCCTAGCTTCTGCCAACCTAGCAGTTCGAAAACATGCAAATGTGAGTAGATCAATAGGTACCGCTCCTGCGGGAAGGTAACGGCGCTCCATGCAGTCATGCTGGCCACATGACCTTGGAGGTGTCTACGGACAACGCTGGCTCTTCGGCTTAGAAATGGAGATGAGCACCACACCCCAGAGTCAGACATGACTGGACTTAATGTCAGGGGACTACCTTTACCTATAAATCCCATCAGGTACAACTCCCAAATGACAAAATCATTATTTTTTTGAGTGATGGTCACTCCTTGTGTAGTGAGACATTCTGTTGCCAAATTTGGTGTGATTTCGTTCATTGGTTCTTTTGTTTTTAAGGAACTCATTATGCGCAGAGCATTTTTATATAGAGATTCCTCCATCCAGACATGAGACTCCTATCAATTTAGCCTAGGATGGCCTTGGCCTTTGGAGCTGCTGCCTCTCCTTCCCGGCCTAGGCCTCCCTCCTCCTCCTCCTCCTCCTGCTGACCCTTCCAGCGAGGCCTCCTCGGGGGCGATGCCTCCGTCGATGAGTTCCCGGATCTTCTGCGGCGTCCCCTTGGAAGGAGATTTCCCTTGGCTTTCCTCGGGCTCCGAAGCGGGAGCAGCAGGAACGGCGGCCGGGCTGGGCGCCGCCATCTTGGTCCCTCGCTCTAAAGCCTCCCTCCGGAAACGGGCGTCCCGAGAGAAAGTCAGTTCCGGTCTAGGCCTGAAGCAACTTGGGCCCGCCCTCCGGGTGTTTTGGACTACAACTCCCACAATTCCTAACAGCCGGTAGGCTGTTAGGAATTGTGGGAGTTGTAGTCCAAAACACCCGGAGGGCGGGCCCAAGTTGCTTCAGGCCTGAATATTAATAATATTTATAGAAATACCTTCTGAAATGTGTTATTGTGGCATTTTCACATTGTTTATGTGTTTTAATTAGGTATTGTTATTACTATAGTTATTAGTAAGAATAGTCATTGTAATACTTATAATTATTGTAATAGTCGTAGTGTTTTAATTATTCTGTAGCCCAGGTATTATTATTATTATTACTACTACTACTACTACTACTATTATTAGTAAGAATAGTCGTTGTAAAACTTATAATATATTGTAATAGTTGTAGTAATTTAATTATTCTGTAGCCCAGGTATTATTATTATTACGACTGCTATTATTAGTAAGAATACTCGTTGCAATACTTATAATTATTGTAATAGTCGTAGTGTTTTAACTATTCTGTAGCCCAGGTATTATTATTATTATTACTACTACTACTACTATTATTAGTAAGAATAGTCATTGTAATACTTATAATTATTGTAATAGTCGTAGTGTTTTAATTATTCTGTAGCCCAGGTATTATTATTATTACGACTACTATTATTAGTAAGAATACTCATTGCAATACTTATAATTATTGTAATAGTCGTAGTGTTTTAACTATTCTGTAGCCCAGGTATTATTATTATTATTACTACTACTACTACTATTATTAGTAAGAATAGTCATTGTAATACTTATAATTATTGTAATAGTTGTAGTATTTTAATTATTCTGTAGCCCAGGTATTATTATTATTATTACTACTACTACTATTATTAGTAAGAATAGTCGTTGTAAAACTTATAATATATTGTAATAGTTGTAGTAATTTAATTATTCTGTAGCCCAGGTATTATTATTATTATTATTACTACTACTACTACTATTATTAGTAAGAATAGTCGTTGTAATACTTATAATTATTGTAATAGTTGTAGTATTTTAATTATTCTGTAGCCCAGGTATTATTATTATTACGACTACTATTATTAGTAAGAATACTCGTTGCAATACTTATAATTATTGTAATAGTCGTAGTGTTTTAACTATTCTGTAGCCCAGGTATTATTATTATTATTACTACTACTACTATTATTAGTAAGAATAATCATTGTAATACTTATAATTATTGTAACAGTTGTAGCAATGTAATATTTTTGGTAGCAATACATTATTTTGGTTCTTATTCTTGGTAATAATACTACTTGTAATACTTGCAGTAACAGTAGTAACCGTAATTGTAATAGGTTGTTGTAGATTTTTTTGGGCTATATGGCCATGTTCTAGAGGCATTCTCTCCTGACGTTTCACCTGCATCTATGGCAAGCTTCCTCAAATGCAGGCGAAACGTCAGGAGAGAATGCCTCTAGAACATAGCGACATAGCCCGAAAAAACCTACAATAACCCAGTGATTTCAGCCATGAAAGCCTTCGAGAATACATAACTGTAATACTCATGTTGTTGTTTATTTGTTCAGTCGCTTCCGACTCTTCGTGACCTCATGGACCAGTCCACGCCAGAGCTGCCTGTCTACCATCACCACCCCCAGCTCCTTCAAGGTCAAGCTAGTCACCTTGTCCTTGGTCTGCCCCTCTTCCTTTTTCCTTCCGTTTTCCCCAGCATCATTCTCTTCTCCAAGGTTTCCTGTCTTTGCCTCTAATATCCTTGCCTCCAGAGAGCTGTCGGGCTTTATTTCCTGGAGGATGGACTGGTTTTATCTTCTTGCCGTACTCCTTTCCCAATGTTGAACCAGTCGGTTGTTCTGTGGTCTGTTCTGACTGTTGCTACTTAGTCATTATATATATATATATATATATATATATATATATATATATATATATATATACAGACAGACAGACAGACAGACAGACAGACAGACAGATAGATAGATAGATAGTTGTAGCAATGGTAATATTATTGGTAGCAATATATTATTATTATCATTATTGGTAATAGTAGTGGTTGTTGTAATTCTTGCAGTAACAATAGTAATCATCATCATCATCATCTTTATTTGTATCTCTATTAAATCCCACTTTTTCTCCCTAAACGGAAATATGCCGCGCAGATGAGCAGAAAAGAACAAGAAGTTTACTCTTTGTAATACGGGGCAACATATATGCAATCATGCAATCAGTTGTGTTGACTCACACAATATCCTTTGAGAGATATTTAAATAGTCTTTTGGAAGATCTCCTTCCAGCAACTCATGAAGAAAGAACTGTCTGTCTCTCTTTGCAAGCTTGTGCACAGCTGATGCCTAAAAATGTAACTGCTCGCTGTAAGAGTTTTGGGGCTGTATGGCCATGTTCCAGAAACATTGTCTCCTGATTTATTTATTTTTGTCTTGTCAAGAGCGACGCTCCTGTTGTGAGAGAATTGGCCGTCTGCAAGGATGTTGTCCAGGGGACGCCCGGATGATTTTTGATGTTTTATCATCCTTGTGGGAGGCTTCTCTCGTGTCCCTGCATGAGGAGCTGGAGCTGATAGAGGGAGCTCATCTGCCTCTCCCCGGATTCGAACCTGTGACCTGTCGGTCTTCAGTCCTGCCGGCACAGGGGTTTAACCCCCTGTGCCACCGGGGCCTCCTGATATTGCCGGTAAAATGTCAGACAAGAAAAAGTCTGAAAAACTTACAACAACCCAGTGATTCTGGCCATCAAAGCCTTTGACAAAAATGTAACTGCTGCCAAAACTCCCAGGCTCAGCTAGCTCGCCAATCTGCTTCATGCTTTGCATTTTCAGTTAACACCCTCACCAACCGATTAGACAAATGGGATGCAAAGTGGCTCACAACATGGTGTAGAAGAGAATATAAAACAATATACTTATGTGAAACTACAACCTCTCAAACAATTTTCCAATCAGAAGTCAAGAAACACATGTCAAAACATTTCAGTCAAGAGGAGCAATAGAATAGATGTAGCTCTGGGTTCGATTGCTGCTGCCTTCTCAAGAAGTCTGAGCCATCTCAGGGATCGGTTGACTCTGCCTTGCCATAGATGCAGGCGAAACGTCAGGAGAAAATGCCTCTAGACTAGAGCCAGACAGCCCGAAAAACTTACAACAACCCAGTGATTCCGGCCATGAAAGCCTTTGACAAAAATGTAAATGTTAGCAAAACTCCCTGGCTCAGCTAGCTCACAGGGCGTGGCTGAACCAATCCGCTTCGTGCTTTGCATTTTCAGTCAACACCCTCACCAACCGATTAGACAAATGAGATACAAGGAGCTTAAGGAGCTGGGCATGTTTAGCCTGAAGAAGAGAAGGCTGAGAGGGGATATGATAGCCATGTATAAATATGTGAGAGGAAGCCACAGGGAGGAGGAGGGAGCACGCTTGTTTTCTGCTTCCCTGGAGACTAGGACGCAATGGAACAATGGCTTCAGACTACAAGAAAGGAGATTCCATCTGAACATGAGGAAGAACTTCCTGACTGTGAGAGCCGTTCAGCAGTGGAACTCTCTGCCCCGGAGTGTGGTGGAGGCTCCTTCTTTGGAAGCTTTTAAACAGAGGCTGGATGGCCATCTGCCAGGGGTGATTTGAATGCAATATTCCTGCTTCTTGGCAGAATGGGGTTGGACTGGATGGCCCAGGAGGTCTCTTCCAACTCTAGGATTCTATGATTCTACAAAGTGGCTCACAACATGGTGTAGAAGAGAATATAAAACAATATATTTATGTAAAATTACAACCTCTCAAACAATTTTCCAATCAGAAGTCGAGAAACACATTTCAAAACATTTTAGTCAAGAGGAGCAATAGTATAGATGTAAGTCTGGGTTCAATTGCTGCTGCCTTCTCAAGAAGCCTGAGAATGTAACTGTTGCCAAAATTCCCAGGCTCAGTTAGCTCGCCAATCTGCTTCGTGCTTTGCATTTTCAGTTAACACCCTCACCAACCGATTAGACAAATGGGATACAAAGTGGCTCACAACATGGTGTAAAAGAGAATATAAAACAATATACTTATGTAAAACCAAAACAATTTTCCAATCAGAAGTCAAGAAACACATTTCAAAACATTTCAGTCAAGAGGAGCAATAGAATAGATGTAAGTCTGGGTTCGATTGCTGCTGCCTTCTCAAGAAGCTTGAGTCAGCTCGGGGATCGATAGACTCTGCCTTGCCATAGATGCCGGCGAAACGTCAGGAGAAAATGCCTCTAGAGCATGGCTTTGTTGTTGTTCATTTGTTCAGTCGTCTCCGACTCTTCGTGACCTCATGGACCAGCCCACGCCAGAGCTCCCTGTCAGCCGTCACCACCTCCAGCTCCTTCAATAACCCAGTGATTCCAGTCATGAAAGCCTTTGACAAAAATGTAACTGTTGCCAAAACTCCCAGGCTCAGCTAGCTCGTTGGGTGTGGCCGAACCAATACGCTTTGTGCTTTGCATTTTCAGTTAACACCCTCACCAACCGAGTAGACAAATGGGACACAAAGTGGCTCACAACATGGTGTAGAAGAGAATATAAAACAATATACTTATGTAAAACTACAACCTCTCAAACAATGTTCCAATCAGAAGTCAAGAAACACATGTCAAAACATTTCAGTCAAGAGGAGCAATAGAATAGATGTAGGTCTGGGTTCGATTGCTGCTGCCTTCTCAAGAAGCTTGAGTCAGCTTGGGGATCGATTGACTCTGCCTTGCCATAGATGCCGGCGAAACGTCAGGAGAAAATGCCTCTAGAGCATGGCCAGACATCCTGAAAAACTTACAACAACCCAGTGATTCCGGCCATGAAAGCCTTTGACAAAAATGTAACTGTTGCCAAAACTCCCAGGCTGAGCTAGCTCGTTGGGTGTGGCCGAACCAATACGCTTTGTGCTTTGCATTTTCAGTTAACACCCTCACCAACCGATTAGACAAATGGGACACAAGGTGGCTCACAACATGGTGTAGAAGAGAATATAAAACAATATACTTATGTAAAACTACAACCTCTCAAACAATGTTCCAATCAGAAGTCAAGAAACACATGTCAAAACATTTCAGTCAAGAGGAGCAATAGAATAGATGTAAGTCTGGGTTCGATTGCTGCTGCCTTCTCAAGAAGCTTGAGTCAGCTTGGGGATCGATTGACTCTGCCTTGCCATAGATGCCGGCAAAACGTCAGGAGAAAATGCCTTTAGAGCATGGCCAGACAGCCTGAAAAACTTACAACAACCCAGTGATTCCGGCCATGAAAGCCTTTGACAAAAATGTAACTGTTGCCAAAACTCCCAGGCTCAGCTAGCTCGCTGGGGTATGGCCGCTTCGTGCTTTGCAATTTCACTTAACAGCCTCACCAACCGATTAGACAAATGGGATACAAGGAGCTTAAGGAGCTGGGCATGTATAGCCTGAAGAGAAGGCTCAGAGGAGATATGATAGCCATGTATAAATATGTGAGAGGAAGCCACAGGGGGGAGGAGGGAGCAAGCTTGTTTTCTGCTTCCCTGGAGACTAGGATGCAATGGAACAATGGCTTCAAACTACAAGAGAGGAGATTCCATCTGAACATGAGGAAGAACTTCCTGATTGTGAGAGCCGTTCAGCAGTGGAACTCTCTGCTCCGGAGTGTGGTGGAGGCTCCTTCTTTGGAGGTTTTTAAACAGAGGCTGGATGGCCATCTGTCAGGGATGATTTGAATGCAATATTCCTGCTTCTTGGCAGAATGGGGTTGGACTGGGTAGCCCATGAGGTCTCTTCCAACTCTTTAATTCTATGATTCTATGCGCAAAATGTCAGTGAAGAATGCTTCTGGAACAATGACCAGCAAACAAAAGTCCTTTGTCCCACCCTGGTCATTCCACAGATATATAAACTCATTTTCCCAGTTCCAACAGACCTCATTACCTCTGAGGATGCTTGCCATAGATGCAGGCGAAATGTCAGGAGAAAAATTGCCTTCAGAACATGGCCATATAGCCCGGAAAAACGTACAACAACCCAATGGACAGACAGCCCAAAAAAACTTAAAATAACCCAGTGATTCTGGCCATGGAAGCCTTTGACAAAAATGTAACTGTTGCCAAAACTCCCAGGCTCAGCTAGCTTGCCCAGGTGTGGCCGAACCAATCCGCTTCATGCTTTTCATTTTCAGTTAACACCCTCACCAACAAATGGGACACAAAGTGGCTCACAACATGGTGTAAAAGAGAATATAAAACAATATATTTATGTAGAAAAACTTACAATAACCCAGTGATTCTGGCCATGAAAGCCTTTGACAAAAATGTAACAGTTGCCAAAACTCCCAGGCTCAGCTAGCTCACCGGGCGTGGCTGAACCAATCTGCTTTGTGCTTTGCATTTCCAGTTAACACCCTCACCCATCTAACAAACAGGACACAAAGTGGCTCACAACATGGTGTAGAAGAGAATATAAAACAATATACTTATGTGAAACTACAACCTCTCAAACAATGTTCCAATCAGAAGTCAAGAAACACATGTCGAAACATTTCAGTCAAGAGGAGCAATAGAATAGATGTAAGTCTGGGTTCGATTGCTGCTGCCTTCTGAAGAAGCCTGAGCCAGCTCGGAGATCGATTGAGTGTACCTTAGCCTTCGCCCCGCCCCCTTTTGAGGCCGTGACGCGATTCCTCTTTCTCTAGATTTCCGAAGGCACCTCCCAACAAAGGCGGTTCTGATTGGCCGCCGCTTGCCGCCCGCCGCCCTCCGATTGGCGGAAGGGAGAGGTTCGGCGGCGAAGGCGAGTGAGGGGCTTGTGGGGGCGCCTCGGAGGCGAAGGCAGGCCGGGGATGTCGGCGGCGGAGCGGGGAGGCGCCTGGGAAGGGGCCCAGCAGCGAGGAGGAGGAGAGGCCCAGGCCCCGCCACACCACACGGGGCTCCTCTACCGCTTCGCCAGGCTTCCTCCGGGACCAGGCCGCGCCGGTGAGTGAGTGCGCCATCTTGGCCGCCCCCTCCCCTCCCAGAGAGGCCTAGCGATTGTTTTGGAAGCCTTTCCTTGGTTGGGCTCGCTCCCACGGGGAAAGGCGGGCTTGCTTACTTAGGCCTTCCCTCGCCGCCTCAGGATGGTGGTTGGGATGATATTGACGTCTGTTAGGAAATAAGGATGGAAACTTCTCTCCTGGCTCGAGAGCAGGACGTGTGAAAAAGATCTTGAGGGTCCAGCTAATCACCTCTCAACAAACGATTCCCCCAGGCAATAACAGCCCACACCTAAACAATTGTCAGTCCATCAAGAACATTAGGAAGAACTTAATTTACTCACACTCCTGTTATCTGGTAGCAGTAGTAAGCTACCAGCACAGTCCTATTACTTACAGTGTAAATTTGTATTTACTTGGTGCACACTGGGCTTGATACACATCTGTTCCCTGCCCCCTGGCCTTCTACATTTCAAGATGTTACATTCCAGATTCTACGCATCCTTGCTTCTCATTTCAGGAACTGGAAGATGAGAAGTGTGTGTGTGCCTTCATGTTGCCTGTTGACTTACGGTGACCCCATGGATTTCATGGGATTTTCTTAAGCAAGGAATCCTCAGTGGAATCTCACAATCCTGACTGTGAGAGCCATTCAGCAGTGGAACTCTCTGCCCCAGAGTGTGGTGGAGGCTCCTTCTTTGGAAGCTTTGAAGCAGAGGCTGGATGGCCATCTGTCAGGGGTGCTTTGGATACAATATTCCTGCTTCTTGGCAGGGGGTTGGGCTGGATGGCCCATGAGGTCTCTTCCAACTCTATGATTCTATGATTCTATGACTCATGTTCAGCTTGTGGTCTACTAAATCTTGGAAACCATTGACTTAGGTCACGCTTTGGTTACATCCCGCTTAGATTACTGCAACGCTCTCTACGTGGGGTTGCCTCTGAAGACTGCCCGGAAGCTGCAGCAAGTCCAACGCGCAGCAGCCAGATTACTAACGGGTGCTGGGTACAGGGAGCACACCACTCCGCTGTTACACCAGCTCCACTGGCTGCCAATTAGCTTCCGAGCACAATTCAAAGTGCTGGTGTTACCCTATAAAGCCCTAAACGACTCCGGCCCTGTTTACCTCTCCGAACGTATTCTCCCCTATGAACCATCAAGATTATTATGATCGTCTGGAGAGGCCCTGCTCTCGGTCCCACCGGCCTCGCAAGCGCGTCTGGTGGGGATGAGGGACAGGGCCTTCTCGGTGGTGGCCCCTCGACTCTGGAACTCTCTCCCACTGGAGATCAGAACCGCCCCTTCTATCCTGACATTTAGAAAACAGGTGAAGACGTGGTTATGGAGACAGGCATTCGACGAGTGAGCCAACACCCTGAGATATGGATGGAGGATTATGTACAATCAGTTTTAGTATGACGACTGACCATTGTAGTTATTGAATATATTTGCTGTGTTAATGTGTTATTGTAATATGAATTACGTTGTTTTACTGACTGTATGTGATTTTATGGTTGGAAACCGGTCTGAGTCCCTCAAAAGAGGTTTTTATTTGTCGTGTCAGATCAACCAATCAATTATATTACATTTCTAACAGAACAAAGCAAACAAACAGATAAAACCATTATATTACATTTCTAACAGAACAAAGCAAACAAACAGATAAAATACAGCATTTGTGAGTTTGGTAGTTGGTTAAATGTCCTTTGACCAGTATCTGGCCACTTGGAGTGCTTCTGGTGTTGTTGCAAAAAGGTCCTCCATGGTGCATCATGTGGCAGGGCTCAGGTTGCGTTGCAGCAGGTGGTCAGTGGTTTGCTCCTCTCCGCACCTGCATGTCGAGGATTCCACTTTATGGCCCCATTTCTTGAGGTTGGCTCTGCATCTCGTGGTGCCAGAGCGCAGTCTGTTCAGCGCGTTCCAAGTCGCCCAGTCCTCTGTGTGCCCAGGGGGGAGTCTCTCATTTGGTATCAGCCATTGGTTGAGGTTCTGGGTTTGAGAGAAGGTCAGTATACAAAACTTTTAAATAAATAAATAAATAAAATTATCGCGGGGTGTCTGCGCCCTACCACCACTGGAGAATTTTCCCTTTCTAGCCGGTATCACACACCTGACATCCGCCGGGAAGTAGCAGCCAATAGTGAAAGGACCAAGGCAGTGACATCTCCAGCTCATCCCTTGTTTGGGTATCAGCCAGCACGTCAACGACTTAAATTAGAAATAATTTTCTAAGATCTACAGAGACACTCGCTGGAACACCTCAGCAAGCGAGAGTCCAAAAGTGGCAGGCTCAAACCCAGAACCTCAACCAATGGCTGATACCAAAGAGACTCCCCCCTGGGCACACAGAAGACTGGGCGACTTGGAACGCGCTGAACAGATTGCGTTCTGGCACCACGAGATGCAGAGCCAACCTCAAGAAATGGGGCCACAAAGTGGAATCCACGACATGCGAGTGTGGAGAAGAGCAAACCACTGACCACCTGCTGCAATGCAACCTGAGCCCTGCCACATGCACAAGGGAGGACCTCCTTGCGGCAACACCAGAGGCACTCCAAGTGGCCAGATACTGGTCAAAGGACATTTAATCAAATACCATACTCACAAATTTTGTATTTTGTCTGTTTGTTTGCTTTGTTCTGTTAGAAATGTAATATAATTTGACTGGTTGTCCTGACACGACAAATAAAAAAGTAAAATAAAAAAATAACCTACCTTCAACAGAGTTCTTTCTTCTACCCTGGACATTCCACAGATATATAAACCCCATTTTCCTAGTTCCAATAGACCTCACAACTTCTGAGGATGCTTGCCATAGATGCAGGCGAAATGTCAGGAGAGAATGGCCTGACAGCCCGAAAAAACCTACAACAACCCACTGTTTCTATGAGGGTTGAATGAAAAGTAATGCCTCCACCTTCATAACTCCTGAACAGATGGCAATACTGGTATGCAGCAGGTACTGGCTTGTTCAGTAGACACTCCTGTACATTTTGGCGGGAAGCCTTAGCATTTAACAGTTGTTAAAGTGCGAAATAGGGAACCCTGAGCATACGGTTGGTCAATGCGATTTAAGCAACGTGCAGTCATTGAATTCTTGACGGCAGAAGGTGTCACCCCAAAGGAGATTCATCTGAGAATGCAAGCTGTTTATGGTGATTGTGTTGATGTGAGTGCTGTGCGTTGTTGGGCGAGTAAGCTTAAAGATGTTGAGGTGGGAACATCTGACTTGTGTGACAAACAAAGAGTTGGACACCCAGTGACACCAACCACCGAGTTTCACAAGCAGAAGGTTGAGGGATTGATTCAGGGCGATTGTCGTATCACTCAGAGAGAAATTTAAAGCATAATCGGCATTTCACAAGAACGTGTGGGTCATATTATTGCTTTGCTTGGCTATCGGAAGATCTGTGCACGATGGGTACCCAGGATGCTGACGCCTGAAAAGAAAGCGCAGAGACTTGAAACTTCAGAGACTGGATCTCACCACCGTACGACATTCTCCATACAGTCCAAATTTAGCACCGTCTGACTTCCATCTGTTCCCAATAATGAAAGAAGATCTTCAGGGACATCATTATGCTTTTGATGAAGACGTTGAGAGAACTGTGGGACGCTGGTTGCGGAAACAGAGTGTCAACTTCTTCTGTGACACCTTCAGAAAACTTGTTCATCATTGGCAGAAATGTATCCAATTGTCTGATGATTATGTGGAAAAGTAAATAGTGGTAGTTAAAGAGCACATTCTAAGAATTATTTCTGCATTTGATTTATTAAAATATTCCAATCCAAACCCAAGTAATGAAGGTGGAGGCATTACTTTTCATTCAACCCTCTTATATAACTCTCAGAACAGTATAGCTGATATCAAGTTGGTCAGGTAACTTCCTTTTCTCATAAATGTAATTCTTTCTCAGCCTTCTGATTGGTTAGCTTATCTCTTATAAATACTTATATCCACCAATATTCTGACTGCAACTTGTTCTCAAAGAACCCTCTTGTCTCTCAGTTCTATCTGACTGAGGACTTAGACACAAAATTAGATTCTAATTACTTCAGTACCACAAGTGAAGGCCAAATCCTATAAATAAAGTTTTAAAAAAAATATTATTTGATTATTGTTTTAATTACCGTTTATTACTGTGTTTTATTGTTGTTCTGCTAAGGGTGAGAGGGCGTAACTTTCCCAGGGTCATATACCTATCCGAATGGATTCTCCCCTATGAACCATTAAGGTTGCTAAGATCTTCTGGAAGGGCCCTGCTCTCGGTCCCACCATATTTGCAATCGCGTCTGGTTGGGACAAGAGACAGGGCCTTCTCGGTGGTGGCCCCTCGGCTACGGAACGCTCTCCCGATGGAGATTAGATCTGCCCCTTCCCTCCTGACCTTCAGAAAGCAAGTGAAATCCTGGCTCTGGGACATAGCATTCCCAGAATAATTGGTTGAGTTCAGCAGTAATTTAACATCTACTGACCACACTGGCGGATTGAGATGAATGTGATTTTACCTTGGGGATTTGGCTCATATGTATTTATTTTGTTTGTATTTTAACTTACCATGATTCTATTATGTTTTTAGTTGCACTTGTGTATTGATTTTCTATTGTTAACCGGTCTGAGTCCCTCTACGAAGGTAGAAAAGATCGGGGTATAAAAGTTTTAAATAAATAATAATAAATAAATGGTTTCTATGGTCAAGCAAGGATTCAAACCTTGGTCTCTCAGAGTTCTAGTTCAATACTCAAACCATGACACTGTTCTGGGTCCCTATCAGAGTCACATTTCAAGAGATACATCTCTTTTGCTTTACATAACTTAAGGTTTGCATAAAGTCTGACCTCAAATATAGTGTGTCATGTATCTTACAGAATTAGGTTCAGTTTTTGCATATTGCCTTATTGATCTTTTACAGACGATGTATAAGGTAGATTGGATTTATATTCATGTTATGTTTACAAATGTGGGGCTTGCTCAAGGCCACTTATTCGATCACTATAAAAATGAGATTACCTTGGCCTCTTTGCCAAATAGATCTAAGTAAGAGTGCAGTCTTATTTTTTTCAATATTGTGCATACTTATCTATATTGCAAATATTTCATCCTCTTTTCCCACCCAACCTAAGCTACCACAAGCATTTTACAGCTGGAGTAGTTAAAGTGTCAAATGCAAGGCAAGAAATACAGAACGGAAGGAAAGTCAGGGAGTTAAAATTGGATTAAATGTCAAAGCCACCGTTGTGATGGAATAACAGGTAGTGTGAACACACTGGCAGGATACATGCTGCTGAAGGGATCTTCCAGGACAGGCTGTACTTTGTTAGATAATCCTTTTCCCAGATTCCCCACTGGCACCATCTCAAATGGCAGAAGTTGAAGGGCTTCCCATTGGAGTTGATAGGCAGGTTCGTCTTGGAGGAGACTGTCCTTCAACTCTTCAGGTTTGAAGATGACAACCATCGCTTTCAATTGGACCTGGAAATGAGTCAGAAGTCACTGTAATTGGTGCACCAGGAAGTTATATGCTCCAAAGCATGGATCTGATACCACTTCAAACTTGTTGCAATAATTCAGTTTATTTATTTATTTATTTACTTTGCTTATATACCGCTGTTCTCAGCCCGGGGGCGACTCACAGCGGTGTACAACATAGAAAGAACAAGGTTAAAAATTCAAGACACAATCTAAAATAATCAATCAAGTATTAACCAAAAATATCATCATAAAAAAACATCATCAATAATACAAAAGCCATTCCACGTCGTCTCATCGTCTAAACCACAATCCAGTATCATTTTCCGTTGTTCCATTCCTGTTGTCATTACCAATTATTGCACTTCTTGTTCGAACAAGAGATCCACAAGACTAGCTGGATCTGTTCTGTTTGGGATCAGCCGCACATAGCATCATAACTTAAGTTGTACAGATGCATATTTCATAGTGGCTGCTGCCTTGATTATCAGTGTATGAGGCTGCTTAGTCTGGCTTATTAAAGGGACTACACACCATGTAAAAAGGGGCTAGGCCTCTGTGCTCGGATCAGCAGTCATATTGATAGTCTGCATTTCTGACCCCTTTCAGAAGACAGCTTTGATAGGATGTGCCATTGGGAACATTGGCATTTTCTAGACATAGCTATCAGCACAGTTCGTCTTCTAGGCTGCAGTACGGAACCTGCAGTTTTTCAATGTGAGCTGCTTTGCATCTCAATCAAGATAAAAGTGGGATATAAATAATAAATTAATTTAATAAACAATAATAATATATAATAATAGTAGTAGTAACAACAACAACCACCTCCGGTTGGACTGAAGATAGAATAAACTCCATTGCAGAGTGGTGATGATATATCCTTCCAGATAACACTGGAAAATTTCCAGGATTCATCACCATTGCTTCTGATGCCTAGGGCTGCTGGGAGTTTTAGTCCACTTGCATCTGGAGGACCATCAGAATGTCACCTCTGATAAAGTAGTTTTGTTTGTGGGGGGTCACTTGAAGAAGTTTGTTGAGAATTTCTGATTTCTGTCAGTTTAATTGTAGCCACAATGAAGAAGTTAATAAAAGGACAGATTTAACTGGTAAACTGTGCTTACTGTAATTTCAAGGCTTCTCAACTGCCAAAAGGAGAGAAAAATACTGAATACAATTTACTCTTAAGTTTCTTCACAGCCTCTCCATGCAGTTTCACATATTTGTTTAAAAAATGGGTGCCAGAATGGAATGCATTGGAATAATAAAGGCCAGGTACAAGTTGACTAACAAACCCTTGTGAAGACTATTGTTTAGGAAGAACTGAGGTGTGGCAAAAACCTGAGCTCAGTCAAGTGGAACTTTAAAGGGACTCAAAGGCAACCGAGAAGGCCCAAAAAGGGTGAATGGGAACAATGCTTTCTGCTAGGCTTGGTTGAGTTCCCAGTGTAGATTAATTTCCAGAGTAACCAAGGCTATCAGTCATAAGAACCAATTGGGAGACTATATTAAAATGAGTTTAGTTCTGATACTCTTGCCAGAGCATTGAATTTGAGTTCATATTTAGTCAAGATGGCTCCCCTAGGAAAGCTGCAGCTCACAAAACTGCTAGAAAATACACTAGGAAGGGATGCCTCGGAAGAATTTTGTCTCGGCCAGTACTAATAGGAATTCTTTGAACTGCAAGTGAATATAAGTCAGCCTCTCCCTTTTTGTAAGCTTCATTCTGGACCTTCTGCAATGCATTAATAATAATAATAATGCTTTATTTATACCATCTCCCCATGGGACTCGGTGCGGCTTACATGAGGCGGAGCCCACATACAACAATACAAGCAATACAAGCAATAACAATACAATACAAAGCAATTAAAATAAATCTTATAACACTAAAAGCATAAACATTAAACAAAATACAGTGCACAATTAAAATCTATGGCTGGGCCAAATGTAATTAAAGTTTAAAAAATAATGCTAGGTATGAACAAGATGCAGGAACAAGGTACATTAAATGGAATGTTCCCAAGGGTCTCCTTAAATGGTAGGAGATCTTGGGCATCATCTGCTTGTTGGAGAAGATGAGTTTCAGGTTTTTCCTCTTGAGCTGGCCTGTTTGAAGTTTGGGTGGGTGGAGAATTTCTCCCAGAGGTGCCCTTTGACGCTAACATTCTTGCTGTGCTGTGAATACCTGTCATTTTCCCTCATGTTCACATTTATTTGTGCCACAGCTTATCTGGTTTCTGAACTTTCCCTTCAATGATTGAAATGTTTCTATTTCTTTCATGCACATTTTGGCCTTTGTTTCTTGATGAAACCATTGTAGGCCTTGCAGTGTTGTGAGGTGTAAAATTTTTACTTTGATCAAGACTATTGAATCCAACAACATTTCTTTCTATCCATAATAAAGAGACTGCAGAAGCATTTAGTTCTGCTCAGGACCATACCTGAGAGAAGTCCGACCTTGTTTTGTATTCTAGAAGCACCATCAATTAGGCAACATACTTCAGGTCATTTTTTAAAGCACCAGTGAACTAGTAAATTACACAACCTATTAAAAGGACTTACTTCTCTGTGAAAATCTTTGAAAAAACCCAAACTGACTTAATTTTATGCAGTGGAATTTTTGCAGCTTTAATGCAGAACGGCCTCTGGAAGGTTTTACAGTGGAGTTATGTTAGTTTATTGAAGGAAGCAAGCAGCTTCTACTTTCGTTGTGCAATGTGTGTGGGGTTATGCTTTAGAAGTGGTGCTGCTGGCTGTTTTCCTGTGAGCAAATTTGTTGAATAAACAAAACGCCAGGACAAAATAACAAGATATCTGATAAGCAAGGTAAAATCCAAATAATAATCCACTCATAAGGGGGAAAAAAAGATACAAAAGCAATATGTTGAAATACATAACATCTTATATTTGGTTGATCCAACATTCAGAGTTAGGCTCATTCAACATTTTATCCTTGTCCACAAATGCCTCCACAGCACCTCATGTTGATGTTTTTGTCAAGCAACAAATCTAAAGGTATTTAAAGGATACACTAAAGTTTTATCCAAAGGTGGGATAAATATCTAATTTGCACAATGCAATGGTTGTTATTGAACTGAACCTTAATTGCAAATTGTTTGACTTTGCAAAAATGAATCAGATTTCCTTGAATGCATTAAAATGTTTAGTTTTATGCTAGAATTAATTTGACAATAACATTCTGGACATTCATTTTTATTTAACTTATTGGTTGCAAGTCAGACTTCTGTAACAGGGTATAAATCGAATGAATACATTTTCTGAATTCCCCTTGAGCTCAGTCCTTCTCTTGCAGCTTGATTTCTGTATGACCGTGTTCTTCTGGAAAACATGTTCATGCTTTTATTTTATTTAATCAAAGCCAGCTATATTTTCTATATTTAGACCGACAACTGGTGTCTAATAGTTCAGGTTCCTCTGAAAAAAATGAATCCAGTTTCACTTTATAAAGCATTGATGACTTTTGTTAATTGAATCTGTCTTTTGTGGGAATAAATTGCAATCAGTAAATTCAGAAAAACTTACGTTTAAAAATGCTGTGCAGGAAGCCAAATGATTCCAATTGAATACCGTATTTGACTCCTTTCTCTGTTTTGTAATTGTTATGCACTTTATATAGCATCAGAGAGTCTTCACAGTGATTTATATTTTGTTTGTAAACTCTTGGGAATTAGGGTGTGTATTTTTTCTCACTGATGCCCGAATTAGTCAGGGAGGTGTCTAAATTAGAACTGATTCCTGAGGCCATGATGACCAACTCTGGTCATATTCCCTAATGTGTCTTATTCATAGTGCCAACCAACCCTCTTTCTCATCTCTCAGTAAAACCAATGTCTTTCTGCTCTAGGCCATAGAATCCCTCCAGCCAGAAGCGGCCACCGATGTGTAGCAGACAATGCCAATTTGTACGTGTTTGGAGGATACAATCCCGACTATGATGAGTCTGGAGGGCCAGAGAATGAAGACTACCCACTCTTCAGAGAGCTCTGGCGATACAACTTTGCTACTGGCATCTGGCATCAAATGGGCACAGAGGGCTACATGCCTCGAGAGTTGGCCTCCATGTCACGTAAGTGCTGATTTAGTATTGAATTCAGCAACCATACTTCATTAGGAAATAATTCAATAGAGAGGTTATACACTCTCTTTCCCATCTGGGTGAGGGCTAAGACTGAAGTGAATCATAGAATCAGGCCAGGACCTTCTGTCTGGAGCCATAATGCATTCCATCTCCTTTGTCCATCATATTGTGTTAATATTATGGACCAAAAGCAACCTCACGTCAGAGAATTGTTGGCCACTAATATCCGGTGGGCCAAATGTGCATCATGGACCCATTTATGAAAAATCTGCTTTTAATTTTTGTTTCCCAGTTGTCATTGACAAAATTATAAAATGTATTACCCTGTTAGTGATCATGAGGTTATAGCTTTGGAGGCCATTTGTCATTCTTTTTTTTCTTAGGAACATCTTATACCCTGGACTAAGATAGATTTGTCATTCTATACCAGTGGTTCTCAACCTGTGGGTCTTCAGATGTTTTGGCCTTCAACTCCCAGAAATCCTGATATCTAGTAAACTGGCTGGGATTTCTGAGAGTTGTAGACCAAAACACCTGGGGACCCACAGGTTGAGAACCACTGTTCTATACCTTCTGAGAAAAACAAACCCTGTGTGGGCATATTATCTCTTGAATCCTCAGGGATTTGTACTACTCAAAATTGTAAAATTCAGAGACAGAAGGGAAATGTGGCAGTGGCTTCATTTCTTTTTGCTCCCATGAGTTTTATATAAGTTGATGTTGTTTGTAGTCTGCATTTCTCTCAAAATTGGGAGTCATTGGCTATGGGACCCAAGTAATTGGAATTCAGATAGCTGGTAACAGGGGAAGTCATGCACACTTTTATGTGTCATGCTGTAGCATGTTTGGTGTAGCGACATGTGCATACCTTTTGCACCGCGTTGCTTCTGCATTACTGTTAGCTGTCCTTCCAACAGAGCCTTTCTCGACATGCTTTCCGCCATACTATTGTTTTTGGTTACGTGGGGCATTTGAATTGATCTTGCCAAGATTTTCTAAGGTAGAATTATACATGTCAACAGTAGAGCTCAAATGCTTTTGCTTTGGTTTGCTAGTTGTGCTGCATGGGAATAACCTCTTGGTCTTTGGCGGTACCGGAATCCCATTTGGTGAGAGCAACGGCAATGAAGTCCATGTCTGCAATGTGAAATACAAGCGCTGGGCCCTGTTCAGTTGCCGAGGGAAGAAACCAAACCGCATCTACGGACAGGTATGGAAGGATTGCCTGGCTCAATTGCAGTAGCCATTTATCTCTGCTCTGAGAAATCTCTTTTAAGCTCACAGACAAGTTCTGTTCTTCTGAGAGGTTGAAAATGGGCAGTGGCTGTATTTATTTATTTATTTATTTATTTACTATATTTGTAATCTTCTCAGCCCTCGGGTGACTCAGAGCAGTTCACAATAGCAAAATTAAATGCTTAAAACATCACAAAACAGTTAAAAACAATTAAAACAATAACGTTATAACAATCAGTTAAACATAACATCTCATCGTCTCATAGTTAAAATCAAGATCCAGTCTCAACATCCAATTGTTCCATTTCTTATATGCTCTGAGCCTAGAGGAAGCACAGCGGATCCACTTTGTATTTCATTTGAAAGTTAAAGGGGACCTGGGCATTTAGTTTGAGCCCATAGTTCATTAAGGCTTTTCCTTGAGGTATAAGGAGCAAAATGATTTACCCTAAAATAGCCCTTTTCAGTCATTTTTCCTCAGGAAATTCTGCAAATAACTTGTATGTCTGCTCCTAATTCCAGCAAAACATCCAGGAAAGCAGGAAAGCGATTTTTAAAAATTAACATTATTCTTTGAATGCCCTTCTCCTTCAGAAGCAATTAACAGTAGAATTGGGAATCAAAGTTTTGACCTTGGTGCCCTACATCTGACCTCCAGTTACCTTCCCCTTTGGCTTCTGTATGTTCATCTGTCTTTCTGAACTGCTTTAGCTGTAGGTCATAGCAATCAATGCCTGATGCTGGCAGTGACCTTTGGGACCCAAACAGAAATCATTGTGAACTGGTGAAATCGATTGAAGTTGGTCTGAAGGCACGCAGGAAAGCAGAAGATCCATGTTTCCTAAACCATTGCTGCGGTCATAATTTTTATTTAATTTGTTCTTGTTATTTAAGCCCTGGAGCACAAGCTGGCTTATAAAAGCTAAAAGGGGTGAAGAAAAAATTTAAAACATTAACCTTTAAAATATAATTTAGCTATCAGTAGATCTCAAAGAAAGCTCAAGAGGATGTTCATTTCAAAATAAAGGCAAATATAGACTGTACCAGGCAAACTTTGCTCTGCCAGATTTTTGGACTTCAACTCCCATGATTCCCAACATTCAGCTGGCAGTTAGGAATTGTGGGAGTGTTATGAATAACTTTTCAATAACTTCAAAGCATAGGTTCTTTTTATTGCAATTTTCCAGCAAGAGAAAGGGTATCAGAACTTTTACATTTTTACACAAAGAATGACATTAAACATACAAACATACAGATTCTATGTAACTACCTTGAATTCACAACTTAGTTACATTGGCTAACAAACAAATAAAGAAGAATTGCCTTTTCACTCAGCCTTCACACATTCAGTCATCCTCATTCATACATCACCATTTCTCTTGCTTTCTCCTGGAGAAGAACATCTCTTAGGCCAAACTGCTTTCTTGCAGCCTGACAAAACAAAGTTCCATAAGTTCTATAACAGCGAAATGCCAAAACGCCAAAAAGAACATGACTCCAAAACGCACTCCTTCCTCTGCCCTTGAGAAAAGGAGCCCAAAGTGTACAGAATCCTGCTTTCCCATAGCAGGTCTGACACACTCCATAAACCATCTCTGCCAGATTACTAACGGGAGCTAGTTACAGGGAGCAGTCAACCCCCCTGTTTGGACAGTTCCATTGGTTGCCAATAAGTTTCTGGTCCCAATATTTATTTATTTACAGTATACAAAGTGCAGGTGACAAAGCTGCCTATCTTCGCAATTGCATCTTCCCCTACAAACCAGCACGTACTGTAAGATCCTCTCAAGCGCGGTTGGTGGGGACGAGGAAGAGAGCCTTCTCAGTGTTGGCTCCTCAGCTCTGGAACTCTCTTCCTAGGGAGATCAGACAGGCCCCTGCTATCTCCATTTTCTGCAAGGACTTAAAAACTTGGTTGTTCCGTTCTGCCTTTGACTAGGCGGTTCACTTGAGCATTATAGAATCATAGAATCAAAGAGTTGGAAGAGACCTCATGGGCCATCCAGTCCAACCCCATTCTGCCAAGAAGCAGGAATATTGCATTCAAATCACCCCTGACAGATGGCCATCAGCCTCTGTTTAAAAGCTTCCAAAGAAGGAGCCTCCACCACACTCCGGGCAGAGAGTTCCACTGCTGAACGGCTCTCACAGTCAGGAAGTTCTTCCTCATGTTCAGATGGAATCTCCTCTCTTGTAGTTTGAAGCCATTGTTCCACGTCCTAGCCAGGGAAGCAGAAAACAAGCTTGCTCCCTCCTCCCTGTGGCTTCCTCTCACATATTTATACATGGCTATCATATCCCCTCTCAGCCTTCTCTTCTTCAGGCTAAACATGCCCAGCTCCTTAAGCCGCTCCTCATAGGCTTGTTCTCCAGACCTTTTATCATTTTAGTCGCTCTCCTCTGGACACATTCCAGCTTGTCAATATCTCTCTTGAATTGTGGTGCCCAGAATTGGACACAATATTCCAGATGTGGTCTAACCAAAACAGAATTATCCCGACCTTCTCTAAGCTCCGGCACTTTAGTTGGCTCCTTTTCCTGTACTTATGACACTTTAATGACCACGGGCATTACCCTGGCAACCCAGCCCTCGGACAATTGCATTTTCCCTCGGCTCTCCCAAGGAATCATTGCACTTACTCTGAGCCCAAACCCAGTTTCAAATTGGCCAGTCAGGGTATTTTTATGATGTTAATTGATTTTAATGTTTTTATTATTTGTTATTGACTGTTTTTACTGTTTCTGTTTTAATTGTAATCCTTGGGCTTGTCCCTCTGTAAGCCACCTCAAGTCCCTTTGGGGAGATGGAGGCAGGGTACAAAAATAAAGTTGTTGTTGTTGTTATTATTATTATTATTATTATTATTATTATTATTACTATATTATCTCTGTCTTTCCCATGGAGCATAGAGGGGGGTGAATAGCTTCGCTGTCTATCACACTTGAGAATTATTAGATTGAATCTTTTATAGGAACATTCTGCTGATGTAATAAATAAATGTTCGCATCCTGACTAATGTTTTTCTTCAGGCAACGAACTGTTGTGTTCTGGGTTTGACTTGAAAGAGCATTGTATTTGACAAATGTAAACAGCCTTTAGAGTTAACCCGGTTTCCGGTCAGCAAATGATGACAGATGTAAATAGATGTAAACATTTCTCTTATCACTGTCACAGTTCTTCTCACAGTTTACTTTTCAGTTCTCATTAGCAGGTTATAATTACAGTCTAGCAAGCAGGTAGTAAATGATTTGGAATGGTGTCTTCAGCCGAATTACTAGCTCTCATTCATTCATTTCTTTCATTCAATTCATTCATACCCACACATATTAAATCTACATTTATCAAATCTCACATCTTATTTACGTGACAGGAGTTGAAGCCCAAAACGCTTGGAGGAGGGCCAAAGTTTGCTCATGTGTAGACTGTAGCATACCCTGTTAAAAGCTCACTCCTCGTTTAGAGATCTGTTGGAACCAAAGTCTTCTCAGTGGAGGCAACCACTGATACATTTTCAGTGGTTGAAAGCCTTGAGTTCCACCCCAGAGGAGAAAAAGTAGGTTATTGAGGGGAATGAAATGAATGAGCCTCAACTTGCAATTCTATTCTCCATCCCCCAAAAGTCTAAGGAACTGTTGTGCCACTATGGATGTAAGGGACATTTTGAGTCTTCTAGTGGGGAGAGTGACATTCGAGTTTCCCAACCAACGTCCTCCTTCTTCTCTCCTGCCAGGCAATGGCAATCATTAACGGATCCTTGTATGTATTTGGAGGAACCACCGGCTACATTTACAGCACAGACCTACACAAGCTGGACTTGAATACCCGGGAATGGACCCAACTGAAGCCAAACAATATGCACTGTGACATGCCAGAGGAAAGGTCAGTTTGGCAGGGACATGAGTTATTTCTTGAACAGGAACACTGGTGTGGAACTGATGTGTTGCAGCTGGAAGTCCCTTCACAAGCTTTTTTCTTCTTTGCTAGGGGAGAATCTGGTGATGCCAACCAGATGTTTGGGGGGGGGGAATAAAAAGACTGTTCTGACCCCTGGTGGACTAAGAAAAATGTCCCACAGGCCATGCTTTGTCCACCCCACCTAGCTTCCTATAAGAACAAAACAAAAGGGTCATTCATATTTATTAGAGAGCAATAGAACTGATTTATGCTACCTCCAAATCTGGAAACATTTGGTTCTATGAGCCTGATTCCTTGCCGGAAGAATAAATTGAGGAAAGTAAATGTAGCCTAAAGGTAAAGGTTTCCCCTTGACATTAAGTCTAGACGTGTCCCACTCTGGGGCGTGGTGCTCATCTCAATTTCTAAGCCGGCATTGTCCTTAGACACCTCCAAGGTTGTGTGGCCGGCATGACTGCATGGAATGCTGTTATCTTCCCGCAGAAGTGGTATCTATTGAGCTACTCACATTTGCATGTTTTCAAACTGCTAGGTTGGCAGAAGCTGGGGCTAACAGCAGGAGCTTACACCGCTCCCCAGATTCAAACCGCCGACCCTTCGGTCAGCAAATACTGCACCTCAGCAGTTTAACCTGCAACCCAAAATGTAGCTTACTAGCTAAAAATTGGTTTGGCTGTTTTATTTTTTAAAAAACTTGATGAGCAGGTGAAAGATGCTAAAAGGAATACACTGGGCTTTCTTTAGATACAGACATGAAATTGCACATGATGGACAGAGGATTTACATCTTGGGTGGCGGAACATCTTGGACAGCCTATTCCTTGGACAAGGTAATGTGGTAAACTTCAGGGTCCTCTTAGCAATCCGATTTCTAGTTGCCAAGAGAATTCAAAAGATTGTGAGAGAGGTGATTTGTAACCTGCCAAAGAATGGCGGGATTTTAATGCATAGAAAGTTAGTGGTACAATCTATTATTTTTTGTGCATGTGTGACAGCATGATGTAGTGGTTGAGCATTTTTATGACCTTTGGGGAACATCGTTTTTAGTTCAGATTTCAAAACAGTGAGGGAAGGAGCAGGTTTTGCTAGCTTTAAAGGAGCCTGTGATGTTCTAGACCTAGGTTTAAAAGTGTTGTTGCATGTATTAGAGAAGTTAAGGTAACTGGTTCTCAGCTAAGGTAACTGGTTCTCAGCCTGGAGTCCCCAGATGTTTTTGGCCTACAACTCCCAGAAATCCCAGCCAGTTTACCAGCTGTTAGGATCTCTGGGAGTTGAAGGCCAAAACATCTGGAGACCCCAGGTTGAGAACCACTGCTGTTTGTAATATATAGTAAATGTAATGAAGGAAGGAATGAGAATGGAAAACCTCTGGAGTTATTGGCAATTTGATGGGAGTGTTGCCCTCCTTCCTTCAGGAACTGTATCTCCAGATTCCTGCATTTCCTCTTGCAGTTGTAGTCCAAAAGGCAAACTTGCCATGCATCTTTCTAGAACTGGGGCTCCTGGTGCAGGCATTGCTAAGTTGAGCCTATGGCAGCCCTTCTACCACAAGCTTCATGTGTATTCATCGCCACCTTCTATTCTCTCATTGTTTTTTATTATTAATTTTTTATTAGAGCCTTTTAAATACAATTAAAAGAGGGGGAACATATAAGTTGTATAGGAAAATAGGATAGTATGGGGTGGGTAGTTGGTAGGGGGTGGGGCTAGTGGGTAGGTATGGGTAGCAAAGTAGGAGGTAGAATGGGGAGTCGGGGATTTGAATCTTCCAGTCGATTCCTCAGGGAGATATTTTTCCTTCATTGCTTTTCTTTCATTGAGTTCTGTTACCTAATTGTTTCATTTTTTTGTTACTATTCTCTCATTGTTGTTTACCCTGTGAATATAATTTTCTTCTGCCTACTTCAGATTCATGCCTACAACCTTGAAACAAACACATGGGAGGAAATCGCAACAAAGCCTTACAAGAAAAAAGGTAGGCATTTTTAAGAAGCCATTATTAGGAAGCCTTATAATAGGAAGTGTCTTTTCATCTAGAAAGCAAGTGTGAGCCACTTACATTTTCTGAAGAAATCTATAGCAGAACATATTTTGACTTTTTTATGTCGTTAAAAAGGTCCGTAGATTAATTTAATAATAATAATAATTTGGGGTTGTTGTAGGTTCTTTTCGGGCTATATCTCAATGTTCTGGAGGCATTCTCTCCTGACGTTTCACCTGCATCTATGGCAAGCATACTCAGAGGTAGTGAGGTCACTACCTATGAGGATGCTTGCTATAGATGCAGGTGAAACGTCAGGAGAGAATGCCTCTAGAACATGGCCATATAGCCTGAAAAAACCTACAACAACCCAGCGATTCCGGCCATGAAAGCCTTCGACAATACGATGATAATTTTATTTCTTACTAACCTGTTGCATAGATTGATACATGCACATTTTCAAATGTATATCTGAAAAAGTGGATAAATAACTGAACGGGGCATAGAGTCAACACCCTGTGCTGGATGGGGTTACACTCTTCCTGAAGACACAGGTTCGCATCTTGGAAGTCATCCTAGACTCATAGCTGAGCCTGGAACACCAGGTATTGGCGGTAGCTAGGGAAGCATTTGCACAATTAAAACTTGTGCACCAGTTGCAACCATATCTTGGGAAGTCAGACTTGGCAATGGTAGTCCACACATTCCGAGTAGACTACTGCAATGCGATCTACGTGGGGCTGCTTTTGAAGACTGTTTGGAAGGTACAAGTGGTCCAATGGCCTCCAGCCAGATTGCTCATTGGAGCAGGATACAGGGAGCATACAACCCCCCTGATGCATTAGGTCCATTGGCTGCCATTCTGCTACTGAGCACAATTCAAAGTGCAGCCTTTAGCCTATAAAGCCCTAAATGGTTCTGGCCCAGCTTCCCTGTCTGAATGTATCTCCCTCTATGAACCACCTCAGAGGTTAAGATCTTCTGGAAATAATAATAATAATAATAATAATAATAATAAACCTTTATTTGTACCCCGCTACCATCTCCCGCAGGACTCGGTGCGGCTTACAAGAGGCCGAGCCCAAAGTACATCATTAGCAAAAACACAACAACAACAATACAATGCAAAAATAAATAGCTCATAACAAAGCAGAACATTAACAAAAACACAACACTATTAAAAACATGTGGCAGGGCCAAATGTAATGGTTAAAATTCTAAAAAATGCTGGGCATGTCCAGGTGAGGTAGGATGAATATTTTGGAAATAAAAGGGTGTGCAGACAATTCTGACTCTCTCATAAAGTGCATTAGGGACATTGCTTGGGATTCCTTAATCTGGGAAGGCACAATGGAAAAAACAACCATGTTTTCAAGCTCCTTCTGAAGACTGCCAGTGTTGGGGAGTGCCTGATGTCCTTGGGGAGGGAATTCCAGAGTCTTGGGGCCACCACCGAGAAGGCCCTGTCCCTTGTTCCCACCAATCGCGCTTGTGATGCCGGTAGGATAGTGGAAAGGCCCTGCTCTTGGTCCCACCTCCTTTGCAGGTGCGACTGGTGGGGACGAGAGACAGGGCCTTCTTAGTGGTGGCCTCTCAACTATGGAACACCCTCCCCAATGAGATCAGATCAGCCCCTTCTCTCCTGACCTTCAAGGAAAAAAAACTTAAGATGTGGCTTTGGGACCAAGCTTTTGACAAGTAATAGGAGCACTGCAATTAATGACCGCAAATCAATGTGATTGACAAATGGAGCGGCTCTAGATTATGTTTTGGATGGCATGATTTTAATTGATGTTTTAATTGCTTGGTTTTAATTGTAGTTGTTTATTTTATTTATGTATGTTATCGAATTACTGCCTGTCGTAAGGCTGCCTTGAGTCCCCTCTGGGGTGAGAAAGGCAGGATATAAATACGGCAAATAATTAATAAATTAAATGAAAGCTCATGCTAAAATAAACCAGTCTCAGAAGTGCTGATCAATTCCTGCTTCTCCATGTTATGCTGAAGTCTGTCTCTGAAACATATATTATGAAACTGGGATGCTCATTGTAGAGTTCAGAACTCTTGAGTTCAATTACTACAAAGTATTTTACACCATCCTTGGAACCCACATTCATTGGTTTAAAAGTACTATAAATCAGTTAATATTCTTTTAACCTTTATTGGAATGTGCCCTAATGCTTCAGATGGCTTTTAAGTGAAGATGAATTTCTCTTTCATATCTTTCAAGGCAGGTGGCTAAAGGGATGCATAAGAGGGCATTCATCTCCTTCAGACTACTGTATATTCTGGCGTATAAGACTACTTTTTAACCCAAGAAAATCTTCCCAAAAGTCAGGGGTCGTCTTATATGTGGGAGTCGTCTTATAGAGCGGGTGCTAAAACTTCCAATCGGATTGGAGAATCTGTGGTTGCCGCCTATGGTGGGGGGAGCTCAAAAATGGCAATGGCCTCATCCCTGCCATGTGCAGCAACTGTATGAAAGCATTAAGGGTGACGCTGTACAAGTACGGTAGAAGAAAATCCATTCATCAGGATTCGTGGACTTAATGCGGTCCCGATGGTGAGGTGAAGGGGCATCTCACCAGTAAGGTGTAAGTGAAGGGTGGAGCAAGCTGCAGGCGTCCGGGGCGCTCGGGGTATGGAAAAAAGAGTGGCTCTGGGCCCAGAAAAACACACATCTTTTCTCTGTCTGGCCCGCCCTTGTTTCCTATTACCGTATCTCCACCTCTGCCTGTCAGATCTCACTCCTGAAGACTGCAGTGAAGCGGTGCAGGTGCGCAGGTGCGAGATCTGAGAGGCAGAGAAGGAGGGACAGTAATAGAAAATTACCCATATTGAAATCAAATCTGATGCTTTTTAAAAATTTTATTTGGTGTGCGTTGGACGAGGGGCAGTCTTATACGGTGAATATATCCCAAACTCTATATTTTAACTGGAAAAGTTGGGGGTCGTCTTATACACCCAGTCGTCTTATATGCCGGAATATACGGTATTTATTTTCAGTTGCTCACAGTCCATTTTTTGTTCCACAGACTTTCCAGCGGCCAGGAGATGTCACAGTTGTGTACAGATAAAAAGTGGTAAGAGCGGCAGGCCTGGTGCATGAATTTCCTTTTTTTATTATAGTGAGGAAATCCTGTTGAATTTAGAATTTTTTGGGCTGGTATACATGCATAAACACTCTGACATTGAGGGATCTCAATTACAGTGCGGGAAAAACCAAGGCAGCTGTGGTGAAAGGAAATGAAAATTGATGTAACTGAGTGTTAATTCCATGCATAGAGCCAGATGCAGCCCATCAGAACAAAGCAGGTATGAGCAGAAAGGAAGGAGGAAGGGAGAAAAGTTAAAGCATTTTAGAGCCCTTCCACACAACCCAGAATATCAAGGTGGATAATCCACAATATCTCTTTTGAATTAGGTTATCTGAGTCCATAGCTTAATGATGTAACTTTAGAGAATGTTGACCATTCCGCTCCCTTGGCAGCCACCTCTCCACCAAAGTCAACATTGACTCTGAAATACAACACTGCTTGAGCTCTGCCAGTGCAGCATTCTTCCGAATGAAGCAGAGAGTGTTTGAGGACCGGGACATCTGCAGGGAGACCAAGGGGCTTGTCTTGCCAACCCTGCTATATGCCTGCGAAACGTGGACTGTCTACAGACGTTACATGTAACTCCTGGAACGATTGCATCAGCGTTGCCTCTGGAAAATCCTGCAAAATTTTTGGGAAGACAGATGGACAAATGTCAGCATGCTGGAAGAAGCCAAGACCACGAGCACTGAAGCGATGGTCCTCCATCATCAACTCCGCTGGACTGGCCATGTTGTCCGGATGCCTGACCACCGTCTCCCAAAGCAGTTGCACTACTCTGAACTCAAGAACAGAAAATGGAATGTTGGGGGACAGGAAAAGAGATTTAAAGATGGGCTCAAAGCCAACCTCAAAAACTCTGGCATAGACACTGAGAACTGGGAAGCCCTGGCCCTTGAGCGCTTCAGCTGGAGGTCAGCTGTGACCAGCAGTGCTGTAGAATTTGACGAAAAATGGAGGGCGAAAGAGAGAAACGTGCCAAGAGGTCAAGCTGACCAGGACCACCTTCCACCTGGAAACAGATGTCTTCACTGTGGGAGAAGATGAAGATCAAGAATAGGGCTCCACAGCCACCTACGGATCCACTGCAAATACACTAATCCTGGAAGACTATCCTCCTTGGACAACGAGGGATGACCTAAGTAAGTAGTATCTGAGTCCATATTGTCATATATTCCAGGTCAAAGGAGATAATGTGGGATTTTCTACAGCTGTGTTAAGGGCATAATAAAATCCCACACCTGTTTAGAACTGGAATAAATGGCAGTGTGGAGCAACTATTGTAGAATTTTTTGCCTTTTTATTCTGGGTTACATGACTGTGTGGAAGAGCCCTTAGTCTGGGTTAACTCTTAAGTTCAGAGCATAATCCCTTCCAGCTTCAACTGAAAAGGCATTTTTGTGCTAAGTAAACAGTTTTTCATTTTTAAAATAAGTAAAGGAATTGCAATATAATACAGATAAAGAGGTAGTGCAGTTAAAGCTTTCTACTCCAAATGAATTCCAAGTCTCCAGGGCTGGACAAATTCCATTCAAGGACATGCAAAGAACTCTCAAGGCATTTCAAAACCACTGGCAATTATTTGAGAATAATAAATAGTGAGAAGTTCCAGCAGATTGGAAGAAGGCAAATGTTTGCCCCATCTTTAAACATGGAAAAAAGAGGGTCCCAACGATCACCACCCACTTGTTGTCTCTCTCAACTCCATGTTTATAAGCATCAGAATAGCCCAGCCAGAATGATTACTTGCTGTGTTTACTGGTCAATTCTGGGAGCAGGCGTCACTTGCCCAAGCGGTGTGGTGTTTGAGGCAATGTAGAGTCCTTCCTCCCCCACCTCTGCCCCTCTCAACTTAACCTTGGTTGTGTTACCTTATTCTACCTCTCTGCCAAGGGTCTCCTTGCATGTTCACAATAGTCTCCTCATTAGGGAAAGGGAGAAGTCATTCTTAAGCCCCTGTGTGGTCTCTCCGTTCAGATGTCTTTGTCTGCGGAGGATACAATGGAGAAGTGATCCTGGGAGACGTCTGGAAGCTGAGTCTGCAAACTTTCCAGTGGGTGAAACTCCCGGCTGTTATGCCCGAACCTGTCTATTTCCACTGTGCAGCTGTGACTCCGGTAAGTGGCTGTGAAAGTTTACTCTCAGACCCACAAGTCTCTGGAGCGCCCCACAGAAGTGGCTACCGAGGCATAGACAGGTGGATTGACCTCAAGTGTAGGCACGGGCAAACTTGGACCCTCTATGTGTTTGGACTTCAGCTCCCACAATTCCTAACAGCTGGTAGGATATTAGGAATTGTGGGAATTGAAGTACAAAACATCTGGAGGGAGGGCCAAAGTTTGCCCATGCCTGGCTTATGAAATCACCGGGATTGTGGTGCAGCTGGCTGAGTGTCAGCTGCATTAAGATCACTCTGACCAAAAGGTCATGAGTTCGAAGCCAGCCCGGGTTGGAGTGGGTTTCCAACCAATTGTGTGTAGCCTGTTGTCGACCTTTGCAACCCGAAAGACAGTTGCATCTGTCAAGTAGGAAAATTAGATACCACCTTAAAGTGTGGGGAGGCTAAATTAACTGATTTATGAGGCCATAAAGAAGACTCCAGCAAAGCATTCCAGCGGGGAAGCATGCGGGGAATGCGGAAGTGCTTCATCAGCGTCGCAGATGGACGATGAAAGCGACAGCTCCCCTGGCGGCCAGAAAAAAAGTTAAATAGCCTCTGTGTATGTCTGTATATGTTTGTATGTCAAAAATTGGCATTGAATGTTTGCCATATTTGTGTACACTGTAATCCGCCCTGAGTCCCCTGCGGGGTGAGAAGGGCGGAATATAAAAGCTGTAAATAAATAAATAACTAAAATCCAGCCTATAAACCCCAGGGCTGCTGCATATACAAAGGAAAAGGGAAACTAAATAGCCATTTCTTCCACTTTCAGCTCTCTGCTTGCATAAAACTTTTTTTTACACTTGTTGGTTTCCAAAAGCACTTTGGGATTATCTACCTATAAAAGTGTAAAACTATATCTGTGTATGTTTGTTCCACAAAGGTTCCTGCATGTCTTAATGGCTCTGGACCAGACTTGATATACATACTCCTTATTATCCAACTTAAAATATTGTCTGGGTTTCAAGACCAAAAAAACCCAAACTACCTGAATCAGGGCTAGAGCCCCAAAAATGAATGCTCCATATATGTATGTACTGCAATACTCAAGATGCAAGCATAAGAGGGCGGTAGATAGGACACTATCTCAGGCTGGATCTACATTGCCCTATAACCCAGGGTATGATTCTTGATTACAGCCATGTTACTAACAGGAGCGGGACGCAGGGAGCACACAACGCCCTTGTTGTTCCAGCTCCACTGGCTGCCGATTTGCTACCGGGCCCAATTCAAGGTGCTGGTGTTGGCCTACAAAGCCCTAAACGGTTCCGGCCCAAAATACCTTTCTGACCGCATCTCGGCCTATGAGCCCACGAGGGCCTTGAGATCGTCTGGGGAGGCCCTTCTCTCGATCCCGCCTGCCTCACAGGCACGTCTGGCGGGGACGAGAGAGAGGGCCTTCTCGGTGGTGGCCCCCCGGCTGTGGAACACCCTCCCTGTTGACATCAGACAGGCGCCCTCCCTTATGGCTTTCCGTAAGAGCCTAAAGACCTGGCTATTTGAGAAGGCATTTAACTGAGTGCTACATTAACTGGTAATGACAACTGGAACGGAATATGGATTATGAGATTGGCTATGATTCTATGTTGTGACGGTGCGGATTAGTTAGTGTAATTTAGATTAGTGTGTATTATTGATATGTTGATTTCTTGTTGTGCTTTATTGTAAACTGTTTTTATATGTTGTACACCGCCGCGAGTCGCCCTAGGGCTGAGAGCGGCGGTCAACAAATGCAGCAAATAAAATTATCTGTTTACCCCAGATTATCTGGCAGTGTAGACTCATATGAGTGTAGCTGCTTTGAGTCTCTTGCAAGAGAGAGAAAGTGGGGTATAAATAAATAGAATAATAATAGTATCGTCTGGGATCAGACTCTGAGATACAGGACAGTGTAGATCCAGCCTCAAAGGGAGAGATGAAAAATGAAAGAGGGCCAGAGCATTGGCAGAGACACACTAGGATGGAGAAGGGAGAAAGTTGTCTTTAGGATGACAAAACTGGAGTAATAATTCAATTCTTTACAGAATTGTATACTTATTTATTTCATGTCAAAAGTGTTGCATACATAAGTATAACAACTGATAAAAATAGAAGGACCACAAGCAGCTAAATATCTTTTGACCAAAACCGCGCAACAGCGGCAGCATTGTCTGTAACTTGAACACTTCTTCTTCTGTGCATGAGGCAGGGCACAGTGGACAAACATACAGGTGTAGGTTTGAAACATCCTGTGATTATTCTGCATGTTTTGTATACTAATAGCAGTATATTTATTTTTATGTTTGGTGAAAGGAAATGAACTGATTTCATCTGTGCTGAGAGATGACTACAAAAATTATTATGAAATAGAAGTGTTGCCTGGGTATACATTTCCTAATTCATAACAAAAAATATGTTAACAATGATCGTTATGCTAACAATAAGAAAATGCATACCCAGACAATACTAGTGCAACAGTTCTCAACCCTTTCATCCTCCAGGTATTTTGTTAGATTTCAACTCTCAGAAATCTCAGTCAGTTTTCCAACTGCTAGATAGATATAGATCAGGCAAGGGCAAACTTTGGCCCTTCTCCAGGTGTTTCAGACTTCAACTCCCACAATTCCCAATAGCCTATCAGCTGGGTTGCTGTGAGTTTTCCAGGCTGTATGGCCATGTTCCAGAAGCATTCTCTCCTGACGTTTCGGTCACCTCTATGGCAGGCATCCTCAGAGGTTGTGAGGTCTGTTGGAAACTAGACAAGAGGGGTTTATATATCTATGGAATGTCCAGAGTGGAAGAAAGGACTCTTGTCTGGTTGAGGCAAGTGTTAATGTTGTAATTGAACCAGCTTGATTAGCATTGAATGGTCTTACAGCAGGGGTCCTCAAACTAAGGCCCAGGAGCTGGATACGGCCCTCCAAGGTCATTTACCCAGCCCTTGCTCAGGGTCAACCTAAGTCTGAAATGACTTGAAAGCACACAGCAACAACAACAGCAGCAATCCTATCTCATCAGCCAAAAGCAGGCCCACACTTCCCATTGAAATACTAATAGGCTTATATGTATTATAATTGTTCTTAATTTTAATTATTGTACTGTTTTAAAGTTGTGTTTTTTTTTTGCACTACAAATAAGATATGTGGAGTGTGCATAGGAATTCATTCATGTTTTTTTTTTTTCAAATTATAATCCGGCCCTCCAACAGTTTGAGGGACTGTGACCTGGCCCTCTGTTTAAAAAGTTTGTGGACCCCTGCCTTACAGCTTCAAAGCCTTGCTGGTTGCTGCCTGGGGGAATCCTTTGTTGGGAAGTGTTAACTGGCCCTGATTGAATCTTGTCTGGAATTCCCCTGTTTTTTAGTGTTGCTCTTTATTTATTGTCCTGATTTTAGAGTGTTTTTTTTTAAAAAAAATGGTAGGAATTGTGGGAGTTGAAATCCAAAACACCTGGAAGAGGGCTGAAGTTTGCCCTTGCCTGGAGTAGGTTGTATGCGGGATGTAAACTGTTCCGGCCCAGCTTATCTATCTGAACACATCTCTTCCTACGAACCCATCAGGAACTTGAGATCGTTGGAGGAGCCCTGCTCTCAGTCCTGCCTGCTTCGCAAGCACATTTGGCGGGGACGAGAGACAGGGCCTTCTCTGTGGCAGCCCCTCGGCTGTGGAACTCCCTGCCTAGGGATATTAGATCAGCCCCCTCCCTCCTGACCTTTCGAAAAAAAGTGAAAACTTGACTCTTCGAGCAAGGATTCGGAACCTCAGGATAAACAGACAAATGACCCAGGAACGGTTAAGACGATGGGATGGATGAGGATTTGAACGAGAGGACATAGTTTTTAAATTTTTTATTTTTTATTGTTTTTATGTCTCTAAATGTACTGTAATGTTTCTTTTTTGCTTTTTATCAATGTATGTATTTCATATATGGCATCGAATTGTGCCGACTTTGTATGCCGCCCTGAGTCGCCTTTGGGCTGATATGGACAGGATAGAAATAGTGTAAATAAATAAATAAACAAACAAACCTGATGTTCTAACGCTACCGGCGTTTGTTGTGTCTCCGCACAGGCCGGCTGCATGTACGTCCACGGCGGGGTGGTGGACATCCACCGGAACAGACGGACTGGCTCTCTCTTTAAGATGTGGCTGGTTGTGCCCAGCCTCCTCGAACTCTCTTGGGAGAAGCTTCTGGGTTTTTTCCCTCACTTGGTGAGGCTCCCCAGATCGCAGCTTTTGCACCTTGGACTCACACAGGGACTCATCGAGCGCTTGAAATGAGAACCTCCTCCGGCCCTCGCTGGGCTCGCTCATGACCGTAATTTAAGAAGTGACTCCTCTTTTGCCCTTTCTTTCGCCTTCTCTCTCTCTCTCTCTCTCAACCCTCTCCCCTCTCTCTATTTATGAGTTCTGCAGAAGAGGAGGAGGAGGAGGAGGAGGACGCTGCTGCTAAGGAGATGGAAAGCTCTGCTCCAAAGCCTTACTCGGCACACTACATCCGGATGCCTTTCTTGTGGATTTTTTTAATTTTAAAATTTATAGAAGTCTGCTTCTTTTCTTTTTTTTAATTTATGGATATCTATAAATGCACCATGAACTAAAAGATACTGTTGCTGAACTAATTTGGACTGCTTCCTGCTGCATGCTCATAGTCTCGGAAGGAAGAGAGGTCATCCGAGGACCTGACTTCCGTTGCCTTCTCCTTGGTGTTGTTTTGTAAGATCCATTTAAGTGGCTGGAGCCTGTCCTGGCTTTCATCCACAGCATTTACTGGTTCGCGACCTCTTTACAAAAGGGAGCAAAGGGCACCTTCTGTCGGCCTTTCTCCGGCGGAGGCTTGAGCGAGGCACAGTTGGCGCAGTGTGTTGCGGCTTTCTCAAACCCTGTTCTCATTTTCTTGCCTTTTCATATTGAAACGCCCTGCCGAAGGGTAATTTGCAGCTGCTGTCTGTAAATTATAGTATTACTCTCTTATCTGGCATTGAAGGATAGGACCTGTTTCTATTTTTTGTTCAGAGAAAGAAAACAAGGAGTTAAAGTGTGTTTTGTTTTGTCGTCACAAACATTGTCTGTTCTGAGAATGTTGACATTTATTTTTCGTGCGGAAATGATATCAACCCCTATTTCTACGCTGTCGGTATAGCACTTAACACAGGCATGGGGAAACTTGGGCCTTCCAGGTGTTTTGGACTTCAACTCCCACCATTCCTAACAGCCTCAAGACCCTTTCCCTTTCCCCCTCAGCCATTTAAGCTGAACGCTGGGCCCATAACCAATGTTAAGCTGAGTCCTGGGCCCATAATCAATGTTATGAATGCTGGGCCCATAAGCAATGTTAAGCTGAGTCCTAGGCCCATAACCAATCTTAAACTAAGTGCTGTGCCCATAACCAATGTTAAGCTGAATGCTGGGCCCATAACCAATCTCAAGATGAGTGCTGGGCCCATAACCAATGTTAAGCTGAGAGCTGGGCCTATAACCATGTTTAGCTGAGTGCTGGGCCCATAACCAATCTGAAGATGAGTCCTGGGCCCATAACCAATCTTAAACTACCGTATATTCCGGCATATAAGACGACTGCGCGTATAAGACGACCCCCAACTTTTCCAGTTAAAATATAGAGTTAAGACGACTCCCATGCATAAGACTACACCTGCGTATAAGACGACCCCTGACTTTTGAAAAGATTTTCTTGGGTTAAAAAGTAGTCTTATACGCCAGAATATACTGTAAGTGCTGGGCCCATAACCAGTGTTATGAGTGCTGGGCCCATATCTAATGTTATTAGTGCCGGGCCCATGACCAATGTTAAGCTGAGTCCTAGGCCCATAAGCAATCTTAATCTAAGTGCTGGGCCCATAACTAATGTTAAGCTGAATGCTGGGCCCATAACCAATCTCAAGATGAGTGCTGGGCATATAACCATGTTAAGCTGAGTGCTGGGCCCATAACCAATCTGAAGATGAGTGCTGGGCCCATAACCACTCTTAAGCTCAGTGCTAGGCCCATAACCAATCTGAAGATGACTCCTGGGCCCATAACCAATGTTAAGCTGAGTCCTGGAACCATAACCAATGTTATGACTGCTGAGCCCATAACCAATGTCATGAGTGCTGAGCCCATAACCAATGTTAAGCTGAGTCCTGGGCCCATAACCAATGTTATGAGTGCTGGGCCCATAACCAATGTTATGAGTGCTGGGCCCATAACCAAGGTTAAGCTGAGTGCTGGGCCCATAACCAATGCTTAAGCGGGTGAGAGGGAAAAGTAAGGGGCCTGAGGCTGCCAGGAATGGTGGGGGTTGAAGTCCAAAACCCCTGGAAGGCCCAAGTTTGCCCCTGCTTGACTTAACACCACCAGCCTCTGAATCTTTCACTCTTTCCCCAAGGATTGGTTGGCTTTAAAACCCCATTTCAATGGACTGCGTCCCTCTGCCGCCTTCCCAAAGACGTCGTCCTAACACGCCATTCCTTCCTTCCCGCGTTCGTTCATTCCTTCCTTCCCGCTGCCGCCCTTCCTTTCTTGCGCACAAGCAAGAAGCCTGACCTTTTGCTGCAAATAGTCTTTGCCTTGTTCCTTTGGTCACAGATGCTGGAAGAGGAAAACCCTGTCTCTGTTTCAACTGTCGTGTCCCGAGTGGCTGTGCGAACCCGTTCTGTAGAATGTATGCCAAAACAGCCGTCAAACCAAGCGTCATGCCTGGCTCCCCGAGGCTGCGTCTTGGAATCTTATTTTGGAAGGTGTTCTTTTTGTTTAAAATTGTACATGAAACCTTGCTGGTCCTTGTTGTCGTGTGTCTTCTTTTTCCAGAAATCCATAGACGTGGGTTGTCTTGGTTCTGGGACTGGAGGGGGGTGTTGAAACGGTGCATTCATGTGGAACAGCAGCCCACAGTTTGGACTTCGACATAGCCTCCCTCCTTGGGTTTCCCAACACCAACTCAGTAATAATAATATTAACAATAATAACAATAATAATAATAATAATTTAAGAGCGGCTTAAAGAGCTGGGCATGTTTAGCCTGACGAAGAGAAGGCTGAGAGGAGACATGATAAAAGGTAAAGGTTTTCCCCTGACATTAAGTCCAGTCATGTCCAACTCTGGGGTGTGGTGCTCATCTCCATTTCTAAGCCGAAGAGCTGGAATTGTCGTAGACACCTCCAAGGTCATGTGGCCGGCATGACTGCATGCAGCGCCGTTACCTTCCTGCTGGAACGGTACCTATTGATCTACTCACATTTTGCATGTTTTCGAACTGCTAGGTTGGCAGAAGCTAGGGCTGACAGCAGAAGCTCATGTTGCACCCCAGAATTGAACCTGCCACCTTTTGGTCAACAAGCTCAGAAGCTCAGCGCTTTAACCCACTGTACCACTGGGGGCCCAGAGACATGATCTTGTTGTCTTGTCTTGTTCATTCATTCAGTCGTCTCCGACTCTTCGTGACCTCATGGACCAGCCCACGCCAGAGCTCCCTGTCGCCGTCACCACCCCCAGCTCCTTCAAGGTCAGTCCAGTCACTTCAAGGATGCCATCCATCCATCTTGCCCTTGGTCGGCCCCTCTTCCTTTTGCCTTCCACTTTCCCCAGCATAATTGTCTTCTCTAGGCTTTCCTGTCTCCTCATGATGTGGCCAAAGTACTTCAGCTTTGTCTCTAGTCTCCTTCCCTCCAGTGAGCAGTCGGGCTTTATTTCCTGGAGGATGGACTGGTTGGATCTTCTCGCAGTCCAAGGCACTCTCAGCACTTTCCTCCAACACCACAGCTCAAAAGCATCTCTTCCTTCGCTCAGCCTTCCCTAAGGTCCAGCTCTCACATCCGTAGGTGACTACAGGGAATACCATGGCTTTGACTAGGCAATGGATCTTTGTTGCCAGTCTGGTGTCTCTACTCTTCACTATTTTATCGAGACTGGACATTGCTCTCCTCCCAAGAAGTAAGCGTCTTCTGATTTCCTGGCCACAGTCTGCGTCTGCAGTGATCTTTGCGCCTAGAAATACAAAGTCTGTCACGGCCTCCACATTTTCTCCCTCTATTTTCCACTTGTCAATCATTCTTGTTGCCATAATCTTGGTTTTTTTGATGTTTAGCTGCAACCCGGCTTTTGCGCTTTCTTCTTTCACCTTGATTAGAAGGCTCCTCACCTCCTCCTCGCTTTCGGCCATCAGAGTGGTGTCATCTGCATATCTGAGGTTGTTAATGTTTCTTCCAGCAATTTTCACCCCAGCTTTGCATTCCTCAAGCCCCGCACATCGCATGATGTGTTCTGCATACAAGTTAAAAAGGTTGGGTGAGAGGATGCAGCCTTGCCGTACGCCTTTCCCAATCTTGAACCAGTCTGTTGTTCCGTGGTCAGTTCTGACTGTTGCTACTTGGTCCTTGTACAGATTCCTCAGGAGAGAGGGAAGGGGGCTTGGGATGCCCATCCCACTAAGAACTTGCCACAATTTATTATGATCCACACAGTCAAAGGCTTTAGAGTAGTCAATGAAGCTGAAATAGATGTTTTTCTGAAACTCCCTGCTTGAATACTATCCAGTATTCCCAATTGGAGTAACCCACTGAATCAGGGGTAGAACAGAAGCTCTCCGAAGCTCTAGGTGCTCTTACTACCTCTTACAGGGAAAACCAGCTGATCCCTAATCCATCTAAAATACAGACATGTGCCTTTCACCTTAAGAATAGACAAGCATCCCGAGCTCTGAGGATCACTTGGGAAGGAATCCCACTGGAGCATTGCAGCACACCCAAGTACCTGGGAGTCACTCTGGACCGTGCTCTGACCTACAAGAAGCACTGCCTGAACATCAAGCAAAAAGTGGGTGCTAGAAACAATATCATATGAAAGCTGACTGGCACAACCTGAGGATCACAACCAGACACAGTGAAGACATCTGCCCTTGCGCTATGCTATTCTGCTGCTGAGATAATGTGGCATGTCTCAATGAGACATGCCACATTATCACGGGGTGTCTGCGCCCTACACCACTGGAGAAACTACACTGTCTAGCCGGTATCGCACCACCTGACATCCGCCGGGAAGTAGCAGCCAATAGTGAAAGGACCAAGGCAGTGACATCTCCAGCTCATCCCTTATTTGGGTATCAGCCAGCACGTCAACGACTTAAATCCAGACATAGTTTTCTAAGATCTACAGAGACACTCGCTGGAACACCTCAGCAAGCGAGAGTCCAAAAGTGGCAGGCTCAAACCCAGAACCTCAAACCCAGAGAGACCCCCCGGGCACACAGAAAACTGGGTGACTTGGAAGGCGCTGAACAGACTGCGCTCTGGCACCACGAGATGCAGAGCCAACCTTAAGAAATGGGGCCACAAAGTGAAGTCCACAACATGCGAGTGTGGCGAAGAGCAAACCACTGACCACCTGCTGCAATGCAACCTGTGCTGCAACACCAGAGGCACTCCAAGTGGCCAGCTACTGGTCAAAGGACATTTAATCAACTACCAAGCTTGCAAATTCTGTGTTTTGTCTGTCTGTTTGTTTGTTTTTGTTAAAAATGTAATACAAATGTCTGGTTGCTGATGACACAATAAATAATAATAGTGGTTGGATGGTGAGACAACATGGACCTAACAATGGGATCAAGGCTCCAGTGGAATGGTTATTTTTGTGGAATTTTGCTTACCCAACACAGCATTCCCAAAAGTACAACTGCATGTGAATGGGAACAAACGTGTATGGACGGGATTGTAGGCAAAGCGTTCCCAACAACAAAACAATAGTGGACGGATTCAAAATAAGACTACTTTTTTATTGTGCTCCATTTAAAGCCAAGTGAGAGCTCCTGTCTCTCAGCAGCAAAGGGACCAGAGGCAGCCGTCAATGGCTGGATGTCACACAAGACGCAACACAATCCCAACAAGAGTTTTTCAAAGTCATAGAACTTATCTTATTGGGATCTTCTTGGAAAACCGAGTCCTTTTCATCCTTTTCTTGGTAATTTCCAAGAGACTCGGCATACCTTTGTCAGCTCCCAATCCAAAGGAGATGAACGTTGGGAGGAGTCTGCAGGTGGTGGCTCCCTGGATTTAGAAAGGAAGCCATATCCAGCCAGATTCCCAGAGATTGACATTTCCTTGGCTTACAAGGAGGCAGCTGCCTTTCCGAAACAAGAAGGCAAGACAACGAAGAGTCCGGTGGAGTGAAGACTTCAGCATCCGGCGGGAGAAGGAGCAAAGTAGTACACGGCCATGAGGATGAAGTAGACCATCACCAGCACTGTACCTGGTTGGGCAAGTTGGAGAAGAAGAGAACATGAGCAGAGTCTACTCTCTTTGAAGGCTCAGGTTTGCAGTCTGGCGACACAGTCAGCCCTCCATATTTAAGGGTTTAACTTTTGTACATTTGATGAATATGGGGCACCCCCTCGATGGGCTGTCACCGGAGTGGAAATTGTCTATCGGACAGATGGCAAGCTATTTAACCTCAGCAGACTAAAAGCCAAAACCACGGTTACAATAACAATACAATAACAATCTGTTATAGAACTCCAGTATGCTGATGACGTCATCTGTGCGCATTCAGAAGAAGACCTACACGCTACTCTAAACACCTTTGCAGGAGCATACGAGCAGCTTGGCCTGTCATTAAACATCGAGAAAACCAAAGTGCTCTTCCAGCGAATCCCTCTCCAATGCCGGAAATACAGCTTAATGGTGTAACGTTTACAGTGTTTCTCAACCTGGGGGTTGGGACCCTTGGGGGGGTCGCAAAGGGGTGTCAGAGGGGTCATTAAAGACCATAAGAAAACACATGGTTATGGGGGTTCTATGTGGGAAGTTTGGCCCAATTCTATCATTGGTGGGGTTCAGATGCTCTTTGATTGTAGATGAACTATATATCCCAGCAACTACAACTCCCAAATGTCAAGGTTTATTTTCCCCAACTCCACCAGTGTTCATATTTGGACATATTGAGTGTTTGTAGCAAGTTTGGTCCAGATCTATCTTTGCTTCAGTCCACAGTGTTCTCTGGATGAAGGTAAACTACAACTCCAAAACTCAAAGTCAATGCCCACCAAACCATTCCAGTATTTTCTCTTGATCATGAGAGTTCTGTGTGTCAAGTTTGATTTAATTTCATCATTGGTGGAGTTCTAATTGCTCTTTGGTTATAGGTGAACTATAAATCCCAGCAACTAAAACTCCCAAATGACAAAATCAATCCCCCCCAACCCAACCTGTATTCAAATTTGGGCGTATCGGGTATTTGTGCCAAATTTGGTCCACTGAATGAAAATACATCCTGCATATCAGATATATACATTACGATTCATAACAGTAGCAAAATTACAGTTATGAAGTAGCAATGAAAATAATGTTATGGTTGGGGGTCACCACGACATGAGGAACTGTATTAAGGGGTCATGGCATTAGGGAGGTTGAGAACCATTGCTTTAGAAAATGTTGACCAGTCTGCTCCAGACATGGACAAGTCTATGCCAAGCATCCTCAGATGTTGTGAGAACTCACAACCTCTAAGGATGCCTGCCATAAAATGCTGTGTCCAGGTTGGTTCATCAGTTCATCAGAGAGTGAACAATCAGGCACATCAAATCACTCTCAACAAAAGATTCCCCCCAGGCACTTCCAAGCCATTAAATGCTAATCAAGGTGGTCAGTTGAAACATTCACACCTAGCTCCAGCAGACAAGAGTCCTTTGTCCCACCCTGGCCATTCCACAGATATATAAACCCATTTTCCTAGTTCCAACAGACCTCACTACCTCTGAGGATGCTTGCCATAGATGCAGGCGAAACGTCATGAGAGAATGCTTCTAGAACATGGCCATACAGCCCAAAAAAACCCTACAACAACCCAGTGATTCCGGCCATGAAAGCCTTTCCACAATACATTGAACATCTCTACAGGGAGAAACTGTTCCAAGACACACGGAAATTGGAAAAACTAATGACCAGGAAAGCACATCTGCTGTGCTCCCTGACTTTCCTTCTATGCTGCAGAGACACAGATACCAACCCACGAGTTCTCACAGCCAAAAGGACTTTCAAAACACAACAGGCTCACCGTATCTATGCCCGCCTGGAACGCAATCTCTTACGACGAAGAATTCACACCATCCGCAAAGAACTCGCAAACACAGACAAGGAACTGTTCCACCTCCATATCAACATCAGTCAAAAGCCAACAGTTAAGAGTTATTTCTCCCACCCGGGATGTGCCTTTTCTTCTAAGAGCACGTCTTAATACTGCTGATTTCGTTCTTTTAATGTTGACCTTTTGTATACAGCGGGCCCCGATCCAGGACTTCACATGGATGCTCAAGACCCCGCTAGATACAATTTTGCAGTCAAATGGACCCCTTAAATAAGGCGGCAAAATCAAGGCTTGCCTTTTGGAATGCTGAATCCATGGATATAATATGCATGGTGACAGAGGGCCAACGGTCTTATTTAACTGCATTCTAATCATTTTGTAATTTGCAAATTCTATTTGCTGCATTTCAAGGTTTCGGAGAACAGGGGCCCAAATAAAAGTGCATAACAACAGCACAACTTCAGGTAAACTTAGAACCCATTCTGAGAATTCTGGACCACTCTAACAATTACCACGTCAGGCTACACAGAGAAACCACTGAAATCCACAAACGTGGACAATTTCAACAGAAAGGAAGAAACCATGAAAATGAACAAATTCTGGCTATCAGTATTAAAAAAACTCTAAAATCGTAACAGCAAATAAAGAATAACAGTCAAAAACAGGGGAACTCAAGACAAGAAACTAATCACCTCTCAACAAAGGAATTTCCCAGGCAGTATCAAGCCACACCCAAAAACTGCTAGGCCATCAAATTAGGCCTGGGTAACCACGAGAAAATTTGGTTCTAAACTTGTTTTGTTTTTAGGGGGCCCTTGCGTTTCGTTTTTTTAAATAATTCCGAAATTTTCCTTTTAAAAATTTCGAAATATACGAAATTTCGTATAATTACGAATCGATTCGTTAATGGCGGACGCGATTGCGCAATATGCTAAAAAAACCTCCAAATGGGACAGGAGGAACTTCTGAAGCTTCCCTCTCCCTCTGTTGTTGACTGTTGGTGTGATAAAACAAACAACAACTATAAAACTTGCACCAGACATGCCAAAATAATTACAAAATAATTACGAAATAATTACGAAATAATTACGAAACAATTACGAAACAATTACGAAATAAATTGAAAAAAATTGTTTCGAATCTAATTTACTCCTCACACTATTCCTGCATGGCTCAATATTGGATCGTAAGCTAATTTAAATACGAATTAATAACGAATTACGAAATTAACGAACGAAACTGCCCAAGCCTGCATCAAATGCTAATCAAGGTGGCCAACTGAAACATTCACACCTAGCTCCAACAGACAAGAGTTCTTTCTCCCACCCTGGACATTTCACAGATATATAAACCCAATTTCCTAGTTTCCAACAGACCTCACAACCTCTGAGGATGCCTACCATAGATGCAGGTGAAACATCAGGAGAGAATGCTTCTAGAACATGGCCATACAGCCTGAAAAAAACCTACAACAACAATGTCAGGAGAGAATGCTTCTAGAACATGGCCATACAGCCTGAAAAACTTCAACAACCCAGAGGTTCCGGGCATGAAAGTGTTAGGGATTCCTCATCTTCAGAAGAGGAAGGGGAGCAGAGAAGTGCTCAGTAATTGGAGGGGGAAGGGGAATCAGACGATGAGGTTTTGCAAGTGCCCACATTTCTGGAGAGGCAAAAGGAAACAGAGCACAGATGACGTTCAGCTAGAATAGCTGCTAGAAACGCTGAGCTAATTGGGAGACGCCCTAGCACTTCCTGCGTGGGGAATTCAGGGCTATAAATCAGAAGCAGGAGCAGTTAGCTTTTCCTGGTAAACAAATGACTCTGATGCTTATGTCTTCGCTCCAATTGTACCTGCTTTGAGTCTGCTTCTAAGGATTTAGTGATCATTGCCTGTTGTCTGATGTAAGACTGCTGTTTATTTTGGACTTTATCAGAGACTTTAGTTTTGTGTCTGCATTAAGATTCCCTGGCTTTCTTTTGCATTTTTCAACTGCATGTGCTGTCCTTTTGTGTTTGCTGAAGTAAAACATTTTTTGGGTTGCTGTAGGTTTTTTCGGGCTATATAGCCATGTTCTAGAGGCATTCTCTCCTGACGTTTTGCCTGCATCTATGGCAAGCATCCTCAGAGGTAGTGAGGTGCATTTTAAATTTATTTTCAACGTTGCATTAAGGATGTTTTTGAAAGGCAAATCAGGACAGAAAGCCTTCGACAATACATCTTCAGAAATGCAGGAGGAATTACCTTGGAAGTAGTCACATTTGCCATCCATGAAGATGTAATTCATGAGGACCACGCTGAAAATGCTGGCGTAAACGTGGAGGTCGCTGAAGACCAAGATGAAATCCGTCGGCTGCAGAGAGGAAGGGCGGGCAGGTGAGCAAAACAGAGAGACCAAAAGCAAAGAAATAGAAAGGTTTTGAGCTTTTTGAGAAAACTGACACCGGAAGAGCTTGTCTCATCCTCTGCTTCATAGGAACATTTAAGGAACTATTTAAAAAGCAGATTAAGGAGATGAGTCTGGACAAGAGAAGATTAAAAAGAGAGTCATGTTTAACTATCTGAAAGAACGTCACATTGAGGAAGGGTCAAGCTTGTTTTCTGCTGCTCTAAAGACAATGGAGCAATGGATTCAAACTTCCAGGAAAGAGATTCCACTTGAATACTGGGTCAACATCCTTAAGAGTAATAATAATAATAATAATAATAATAATAATAATAATAATAATCCTTTATTTATAAACCCCGCTACCATCTCCCGCAGGACTCGGTGCGGCTTACAAGAGGCCGAGCCCAAAATACATCAGAACAAAAAACACAACCACAACAATACAATACAACAATAAATAACTCACAGCAAAGCAAAAACAATAACAAAATATCACGACGCAATTTAAAAACCTGGCAGGGCCAAATGTAAAGGTTAAAAAAAATTTGCAATGTGAAAAAGGATGGATATTTTGGGGAGTAAGTGGGTGTGCAGACAATTCTAACTCTCTCGTAAAGTGCATTTGGGACATATTACTTGGGATTCCTTAATCTGGGAAGGCACACTGGAACATCCATGCTTTCAAGCTCCTTCTGAAAACTGCCAATGTTGGGGCATGCTTGATATCCTTGGGGAGGGAGTTCCAGAGTCGGGGGGCCACCACCGAGAAGGCCCTGTCCCTCGTTCCCAACAATCGCGCTTGCGATGCAGGTGGGATCGTGAGCAGGGCCTCTCCAGATGAATGAAGAGATCATGTGGGTTCGTATACGGAAATGCGGTCACGCAGGTAGGTGGGTCCCAAACTGTTCAGGGCTTTGTAGGTAAGCACCTGCACCTTGAATTGGGCCCGGAAAATGAACGGCAGCCAATGGAGCTCCTTAAACAGGAGGGTTGACCTCTCCCTGTAAGGAGCATCAGTTAACAACCTGGCCACCGCCCGTTGAACCAACTGAAATTTCCGGGCCGTGATCAAGAGCAGCCCCACGTAGAGTGCATTACAGTAGTCCAATCTGGAGATTGTTCAACAGTGGGAACATAGGAAGAGCACCCACCCGTTCCCAACTCCCTCCTACTAAAAAGAGGAGGCCAAGCCGAGCCAAAAATACAAATAAATCAAGCTGAGAGCAGCCGCAGAGCAGAACTCGAGTAAGCGACCATGAAGGCAGGTAGACAGGTGCAATGCAGCTACACAACTGAGAGCAATGGAGACAGTTGCCCTTTTAAATAGACTCAGTTTGTGTGAGTCACGTCACGGCTGCTGGAGTTCAGCCTGCGATAGTGTCTAATGATCAGGATACTCTGGATGTTGGGAGTGACAATCAGGTTCATGTGTCTAATGATGTTTCTAATGATAAGGTTGCTCTAGATGCAGAGAATGACAATGGGATTCCTCTTCAAAGTGACTTTTCTGATGATAATGTTCCTGAAGGGTTTGGGGATGATGGTCTGTTCCCTGGGCCTGAATTGCTACCAGAGAATTCCCAAGGCTTTGAGCCTGAGAAAGGCTCGGCACCTGGGCCAGTTGCAGAAATTAATGAGCCAGTAGATAGGAGAAGTGCTTTCATTCAGCACAGAAAAACAAACCCTGCTCTCAGGTGCTCTATCAGATTACAGGAGACACTATTAGCAGATTCAAGGCTGAGACAAAATCCGTTCCTGGCCGCTTGGGATATAGAGTAGTTTAGGGGATAAAAGTGCCAAGTACAGAATCTGTAGCCAGACGAAGCAACATAGGAATTGAGTTAAGACTTTGTCCCAGGTCCCCGGAAGCCTTGCCTTGGGTAGATTCCTGTGCTAAGTGCCTTGTTTGATTCATGTCCAAGTTTTGGGGTTTTACCGTGGAAGTTACAGTATACAGATGGAGTGGATGAGGGATTGGAGGACATCCAACCCCAAATTGGGAAAGAAGTCGTCCAGGAATACCTGGCCGCTCTTAATGAGTTCAAGTCCCCAGGGCCAGATCAACTACACCCCAGAGTATTGAAGGAACTAGCGGAAGTCATTTCGGAACCATTGGCAACCATCTTTGAGAGTTCTTGGAGAACGGGAGAAGTTCCAGCAGATTGGAGGAGGGCCAATGTGATCCCAATCTTCAAGAAGGGAAAAAAGGATGACCCAAACAACTACCGTCCGGTCAGCCTCACGTCGATACCGGGCAAGATTCTGGAAAAGATTGTTAAGGAAGCGGTCTGCAAACACTTAGAAACAAATGCAGTCATCGCTAATAGTCAACATGGATTTATCAAAAACAAGTCATGCCAGACTAATCTGATCTCTTTCTTCGATAGAGCTACAAGCTGGGTAGATGCGGGGAATGCCGTGGATGTAGCCGTACCTGGATTTCAGTAAGGCCTTCGACAAGGTCCCCCATGACCTTCTGGCAAGGAAACTAGTCCAATGTGGGCTAGGCAAAACTACGGTGAGGTGGATCTGTAATTGGTTAAGTGGACGAACACAGAGAGTGCTCACTAATGCTTCCTCTTCATCTTGGAAAGAAGTGACAAGTGGAGTGCCGCAGGGTTCCGTCCTGGGCCTGGTCCTGTTCAACATCTTTATTAATGACTTAGATGAAGGGCTAGAAGGCATGATCATCAGACGACACCAAATTGGGAGGGATAGCCAATAGTCCAGAGGACAGTAGCAGAATTCAAAACGATCTTGACAGATTAGAGAGATGGCCTAAAACTAACAAAATGAAGTTCAACAGTGACAAATGCAAGATACTCCACTTTGGCAGAAAAAATGAAATGCAAAGATACAGAATGGGGGACAATGCCTGGCTTGAGAGCAGTACGTGTGAAAAAGACCTTGGAGTCCTCATGGACAACAAGTTAAACATGAGCCAACAATGTGATGTGGCGGCAAAAAAAGCCAATGGGATTTTGGCCTGCATCAATAGGAGTATAGTGTCTAGATCTAGGGAAGTAATGCTACCCCTCTATTCTCTTTGGTTAGACCACACTGGAATATTGTGTCCAATTCTGGACACCACAATTGAAGAGAGATATTGACAAGCTGGAATGTGTCCAGAGGAGGGTGACTAAAATGATCAAGGGTCTGGAGAACAAGCCCTATGAGGAGCGGCTTAAGGAGCTGGGCATGTTTAGCCTGAAGAAGAGAAGGCTGAGAGGGCATATGATAGCCATGTATAAATATGTGAGAGGAAGCCACAGGGAGGAGGGAGCAAGCTTGTTTTCTGCTTCCCTGGAGACTAGGACGCGGAACAATGGCTTCAAACTACAAGAGAGGAGATTCCATCTGAACATGAGGAAGAACTTCCTGACTGTGAGAGCCGTTCAGCAGTGGAACTCTCTGCCCTGAAGTGTGGTGGAGGCTCCTTCTTTGGAAGCTTTTAAACAGAGGCTGGATGGCCATCTGTCAGGGGTGATTTGAATGCAATATTCCTGCTTCTTGGCAGGGGGTTGGACTGGATGGCCCATGAGTTCTCTTCCAACTCTTTGATTCTATGATTCTATGATTTTATGTAGTATGTATTTTATGTATGGTGTCTATGGGATTCCTTTCAAAGTGATTTTTTCTGACGGGAATGTTCCTGAAGGGTTTGGGGATGATGGTCTGTTCCCTGGGCCTGAATTGCTACCAGAGAATTCCCAAGGCATTGAGCCTGAGAAAGGCTCGGCACCTGGGCCAGCTGCCGAAATTAATGAGCCAGTAGATAGGAGAAGTGCTTTCAGTCAGCACAGAAAAACAAACCAAACTCCCAGGCACTCTGCCAGATTATGGGAGAGATTGATAGCAGATTCAAGGCTGAGACGAAATCCGTTCCTGGCCGCTTGGAAAATACAATAGATTAGGGGATAAAAGTGCTAAGTACAGAATCTGTTGCCAGACGAAGCAACGTTGGAATTGAGTTAAGACTTTGTCCCAGGTCCCCGGAAGCTCTGCCTTGTAGATTCCTGTGTAAGTGCCTTGTCTGATTCATGTTAAAGTTTTGGGGTTTTACCTTGGAAGTTTCAGTATTTGTTTTCATCCACTCTGATGGACTAATTTCCTCTATCTATCTTTCTATCTAATTGGATTTACCTATTCTTGTGGATTGCTTTTTTACTGCTACTGCATTTGTACTCAGCTGTGTGGTGTTTAAAGTCAAGCGGGTTTTCCTGGCCTGGAGTGCAACAACGGCATAGTTCTCCACCAATTGTCCCAACAGGCAAGGCTCGGAGGGAAACCCTGTGCAAAGAGCACGCAGCAGTTCTTTGCACGTAATGTGAGGAGCTGCACATGCTCCCGAAAGCAGAATGGGAGCCGATGACCAGTTCCCACTTGCTTTCGTGTCGAGTGGATTTTTTTTTATCGAGAGGGCCCTTCCCATATATGTTCTTGAAGGAACTGAAGGAAACAGGAATCAAATCGGCACACAACTCTAGTAAGAGTCTCCTTCTGTGGATGTTTTCTAGCAGAATCTGGCCACCTGTCAGGAGAGCTTTTGATTATGCTAGGGTTGGACTGTTGGCGCAATGGGTTAAACCCTTGTGCCGGTAGGACTAAAGACTGACAGGAAAGAGGTTCAAATCCAGGGAGAGCATGGATGAGCTCCCTCTGTCAGCTCTAGCTTCCCATGCGGGGACATGAGAGAAACCTCCCACGAGGATGGTAAAACATCAAAACATCCGGGCGTCCCCTGGGTAACGTCTTTGCAGACGTTAATTCTCTCACACCAGAAGTGACTTGCAATTTCTCAAGTTGCTCCTGACACACACACACACACAAAAGCAAAGCAGGAGTCGGCCATCTGTCCGGAGAGATTTTGATTATCCTGGGGCCAGACTGGTGGTGCAATGAGTTAAACCCTTGTGCCGGTAGGACTAAAGACCGACAGGTCAGAGCATGGATGAGCTCCCTCTGTCAGCTCCAGCTCCCCATGTGGGGTCATGAGAGAAGCCTCCCACAAGGATGGTAAAACTTCAAAACATTCGGGCGTCCCCTGGGCAACGTCTTTGCAGACGGCCAATTCTCTCACACCAGAAGCAACTTGCAATTTCTCAAGTTGCTCCTGACACACACACACACAAAAGCAAAGCAGAAGCTGGCCATCTGTCGGGAGAGCTTTTGATTATGCTGGGGCCGGACTGGTGGTGCAATGAGTTAAACCCTTTTGCCAGTAGGACTAAAGACCAACGGGTCAGAGCGTGGATGAGCTCCCTCTGTCAGCTCCAGCTCCCCATGCGGGGTCATAAGGGAAGCCTCCCACAACGATGATAAAATATCAAACTATCTGGGTGTCCTCTGGGCAACGACTTTGCAGACAGTCAATTCTCTCACACCAGAAGTGACTTGCAGTTGCTCCTGACACACACACACAAAGCAAAGCAAAAGCTGGCCATCTGTTGGGAGAGCTTTTGACTATGCTGGGGTTGGACTATGTGGCTTTTCGGGGTCTCTCCCAACTCTAGGATTCTGCAATTGGAGCCGTCAATTGTACCTATGGACTCTCCCATTATTACTTACATAGAAGACGGTGAAGAGCACCACGATGGGGATCTGCAGCATGCACACCTGGACGGCAATGCTGTTCCCAATCTCGATGCTGCAAGAGGGAGAAAGGCAGGTGAGGCTCAGCAGGAAGGAATGGCGGCACCTCCAGAAAGGCAGCTGACTCTAGGAACTATAGACCAAAAAAGGATTTATTTCCCCCCCCAGCTCTTTGAAGAAGCAGAAGACTCTCCAAAGTCAGGCCCACCTTAAGCTGAGATTGTTCTGGAGCGCAAACTGGATCCCGTTGACGATTTCCGGAAGCTCTGGGACCATCGCAAGCACCGTCACGCCAATGAAATACTGCAGAAGAGAAGCCATTGCTTACAATTATTATTATTATTATTATTTGAAACATAACAAGATGAGTCCACAGCAGACACTCTTCTGGCTGTTGTATTGGATCACAAGTCAGACACTTCCCAAGTGTCAAGGACTGTGTGATGTTGTGAAGGAGGGTAAAATTACTGCCACCTAATCTGTGAGGAAGCCCAATAATAAATCCCAGCAACTGTTGTTGTTCATTCGTTCAGTCGTCTCCGACTCTTCGTGACCTCATGGACCAGCCCACGCCAGAGCTCCCTGTCGGCCGTTACCACCCCCAGCTCCCTCAAGGTCAGTCCAGTCACTTCAAGGATGCCATCCATCCATCTTGCCCTTGGTCGGCCCCTCTTCCTTTTGCCTTCCACTTTCCCCAGCATCATTCCCTTCTCTAGGCTTTGCTGTCTCCTCATGATGTGGCCAAAGGACTTCCACTTTGTCTCTAGTCTCCTTCCCTCCAGTGAGCAGCCGGGCTTTATTTCCTGGAGGATGGACTGGTTGGATCTTCTCGCAGTCCAAGGCACTCTCAGCACTTTCCTCCAACACCACAGCTCAAAAGCATCAATCTTCCTTCGCTCAGCCTTCCCGAAGGTCCAGCTCTCACATCCGTAGGTTACTACAGGGAATACCATGGCTTTGACTAGGCAATGGATCTTGGTTGCCAGTCTGATGTCTCTACTCTTTACTATTTTATCGAGACTGGACATTGCTCTCCTCCCAAGAAGGAAGCGTCTTCTGATTTCCTGGCCACAGTCTGCATCTGCAGTCATCTTTGCACCTAGAAATACAAAGTCTGTCACGGCCTCCATGGTTTCTCCCTCTATTTCCCAGTTGTCAATCATTCTTGTTGCCATAATCTTGGTTTTTTTTTAATGTTTAGCTGCAACCCAGCTTTTGCGCTTTCTTCTTTCACCTTGATTAGAAGGCTCCTCAGCTCCTCCTCGCTTTTGGCCATCAGAGTGGTGTCATCTGCATATCTGAGGTTGTTAATGTTTCTTCCAGCATTTTCACCCCAGCTTTGCATTCATCAAGCCCCGCACATCCTCGCATGATGTGTTCTGCATACACGTTAAAAAGGTTGGGTGAGCGGATGCAGCCTTGCCGTACGCCTTTCCCAATCTTGAACCAGTCTGTTGTTCTGTGGTCAGTTCTGACTGTTGCGACTTGGTCCTTGTGCAGATTCCTCAGGAGAGAGGGAAGGGGGCTTGGGATGCCCATCCCACCAAGAACTTGCCACAATTTATTATGATCCACACAGTCAAAGGCTTTAGAATAGTCAATGAAGCAGAAATAGATGTTTTTCCGAAACTCCCTGCCTTTCTCCATTATCCAGCGGATATTGGCAATTTGGTCCTCTGCCTTTTCTAAACCCAGCTTGTACATCTGGCAACTCTCTCTCCATGTGTTGCTGGAGTCTTCCTTGCAGGATCTTGAGCATTACCTTACTGGAATGAGAAATAAGCCACTGTACGGAAGTTTGAGCAGTCTTTCACCATTTCCCTTTTTTGGTATGGGGATATAAGTTATTGCCACCAATTCTGTGAGGAAGCCGGGCAATGATCAGTATCAGCTTAAGAGTTGGTTTATAAAGGGACTATTAATTACAGAAGTATTTATTTATTTGATAGCGTAGCGTTTAATGTCCCTGGTTTGGTTTTACGTCTTATGTAGGCTGTTTGACTTAGGAGAAACTGTATCAGGCAAGGCTTGAGGAAAACAGTAACAAGTTTATTGGAACAAGCAAGGTATAACAGATTCGATGTTTCTTCTCTAGAGGCACAAATCTTGATAGGTTACATTTAGTTTTTGAATAACTCTGGGAAGGGCTCTTCCTTCCACTAAACAGGTTTCAAACAGTTTCTTTAAAAAGATGGTTCTTTCTTTTACAGATGGGTACAGGCACACGCTACCCTTGCTTTATGATGGTTCATTTAACATAAATAAGTCACCTGACTTATCTAACTATATTGGCTCACAGCCAAACCCTGATTCTTAATATTAAAGAACCAGTCTTCCCTATAGTTCTCTAACTACAGTATTCCTGATGGTTTTCCACACACCACAGGATCAACTACCTTCTCCTGTAACTCTTTGGTCACAGACTAGTTCCCTGAATCCCCACCTAGAGATTTCAGTCCTTTCTGCAACTCTAATAGTCACAGACTCTTCCCTCATTCCCCCACTAGAGAAATCAGTCTTCTCTGTAGCTCACCGGCTTACAGACTGCCACTTTCAAACAGCTGCTCCGTGAAGTGACAGTTGGCTCCGCCCCCGTTGCTATGGCAACTCAGCTCAAGCCAAACCAGCCACTATCTCTAACAAAATATAATCCTACATACTTACCATTTATCAACTACTGTTTAAACAACACATCATAAGAATAAAAATTACACATCGTCACAGATGTATCGGCGAATAATGCGTGCAGATCCCAGTAAGGTGGCCTTCTGCAGCTGGCAGATGGTCATTTTGTCAGTGCCAATTGTGTTTAAGTGCAGGCCAAGGTCTTTAGGCACTGCACCCAGTGTGCCGATCACCACTGGGACCACCTTTACTGGCTTGTGCAGTCTTTGCAGTTCGCATGGTTTGGTATCTACATAGTGGCAGATAGGAAGGCACTCCAAAGTGTCACCACTTCTGCACAGAGGAGCATTGGCTGCCCTCTTTCTCCCCTCTTTGGAAGAACTTTATAAGTCCTCAGCCTTAAGAAAGCTCAAAGCATTCATCCATCTCACTCATTACACGGTGATGAAGGCAAGGACAAACAGACTAAGAGACAGCTTTTATCCTAGAGCTGGAACTAACCCTGCTATACGCCTGCGAGATGTGGACTGTCTACAGACGTCACATGCAACTCTGGGAACGATTCCAGAGTTTTCTCTCCTTATTGAGACAAAAAGTGAGGTATAAATAAACATAACAATAATAATAATAATATGAAGCAGAGAGTGTTTGAGGACCGGGACATCCGTAGGGAGACCAAGGCGCTTGTTTATAAAGCTATTGTCCTCCCAACCCTGCTATACGCCTGCGAAACGTGGACTGTCTACAGACGTCAACATTGACACCGAAATACAACACCGCCTGAGCTCTGCGAGTGCAGCATTTTCCCGAATGAAGCAGAGAGTGTTTGAGGACCGGGACATCCGTAGGGATACCAAGGTGCTTGTTTATAAAGCTATTGTCCTCCCAACCCTGCTATATGCCTGCGAAACGTGGACTGTCTACAGATGTCACATGCAACTCCTGGAACATTTCCATCAGCGCTGCCTCCGGAAAATCCTGCAAATCTCTTGGGAAGGCAAGCGACAAATGTCAGCGTGCTGGAAGAAGCAAAGACCACCAGCATTGAAGCAATGGTCCTCCGCCATCACTCTGCTGGGCCAGCCACGTTGTCCGGATGCCTGACCACCGTCTCCCAAAGCAGTTGCTCTACTCCGAACTCAAGAACGAAAACGGAATGTTGGTGGGCAGGAAAAGAGATTTAAAGATGGGCTCAAAGCCAACCTTAAAAACTCTGGCATAGACACTGAGAACTGGGAAGCCCTGGCCCTTGACCGCTCCAGCTGGAGGTCAGCTGTGACAGCAGTGCTGCAGAATTTGAAGAGGCACGAATGGAGGGTGAAAGGGAGAAATGTGCCAAGAGGAAGGTGCGCCAAGCCAACCCCGACCAGGACCGCCTTCCACCTGGAAATCAATGCCCTCACTGCGGGAGAAGATGCAGGTCAAGAATAGGGCTCCACAGTCACCTACGGACCCACCAGACTATCCTTCTCAGCCAACGAGGAATAGCCTAAGTAAGTAAAGTAACTATATTGAACCCCATGATCTCATATTGGTGTGGCATTGGGGTCTGTGCAGTGGTGGTGGGAGAGAGGAGGGATGGGGGTGTTGTTTTGTGGTCTGTGCTGGGGAAAACATTGAATTTCGCTGTGCAATGACAATAAAGTTATAATTCATCTTCTTCTAATCCAAAGCAGGTGACTATTTCATGGCGTCCTCGGAATGCTAGCGGCTTCCTTTGGGTCTTACCTGAGACACGGGCGAGTTTTCCAGGATGGGGCTGATGTGTTCGGTGGCCAGGTCCGCGCAGGCAGACATGCAGAGCGTGGCCAGAAGCAGGATGAGCATGGCCCTCCAGCGCGACCAGTGCACCACGGCGCTGTGGTGGTGGCCCGGCACTAAAGGCAGGAAAGAGAAGGGAGAGAAAAGCACCGTCAGCAAAGGCCAGACCTTGGTTGGTTTGACCAGCTTAGAATCACATTGGCCTTGTTAGCTGCTGCATCACACTCTTGGCTCATGTTCCTCCGGGTGTTAGGAATGGTGAGAGTTGAAACACCGGGAGGGACGAAGCTGGCCTGTGCCTGGTCTAGAACATGGTATATACCTTTCTAATGTTTGCATATCTGTCTATGTAAAACTGTGCGGTCTTAACTTTTAATAGTACGCTGCTTTGAGTCTCCTTTGGGAGAAATGAAGCAGGGCATTAATAAACAACAACAACAACAATAAACATAATAAACAAATTCGGTGAACTTTCTAATATTGTCACAAACCCCGATGACATCTAGACATTTGATAATCCAACAATGTGGCATTGACTCAAATGCTTTTTTGTAATCAATCCAAGTTCTGGGACCCTAACCCTAACCCTAGGACTCCCAAGTTCCCCTTCTCATGAATTGAACTTGAATTATTATTATTATTAATAATAATAATAATAATTCAAGTTCAATTTTCGGTGAACTTTCTAATATTGTCACAAACCCCGATGACATCTAGACATTTGATAATCCAACAATGTGGCATTGACTCAAATGCTTTTTTGTAATCAATCCAAGTTCTGGGACCCTAACCCTAACCCTAGGACTCCCAAGTTCCCCTTCTCATGAATTGAACTTGAATTATTATTATTATTAATAATAATAATAATAATTCAAGTTCAATTTTCGGTGAACTTTCTAATATTGTCACAAACCCCGATGACATCTAGACATTTGATAATCCAACAATGTGGCATTGACTCAAATGCTTTTTTGTAATCAATCCAAGTTCTGGGACCCTAACCCTAACCCTAGGACTCCCAAGTTCCCCTTCTCATGAATTGAACTTGAATTATTATTATTATTAATAATAATAATAATAATTCAAGTTCAATTTTCGGTGAACTTTCTAATATTGTCACAAACCCCGATGACATCTAGACATTTGATAATCCAACAATGTGGCATTGACTCAAATGCTTTTTTGTAATCAATCCAAGTTCTGGGACCCTAACCCTAACCCTAGGACTCCCAAGTTCCCCTTCTCATGAATTGAACTTGAATTATTATTATTATTAATAATAATAATAATAATTCAAGTTCAATTTTCGGTGAACTTTCTAATATTGTCACAAACCCCGATGACATCTAGACATTTGATAATCCAACAATGTGGCATTGACTCAAATGCTTTTTTGTAATCAATCCAAGTTCTGGGACCCTAACCCTAACCCTAGGACTCCCAAGTTCCCCTTCTCATGAATTGAACTTGAATTATTATTATTATTAATAATAATAATAATAATTCAAGTTCAATTTTCGGTGAACTTTCTAATATTGTCACAAACCCCGATGACATCTAGACATTTGATAATCCAACAATGTGGCATTGACTCAAATGCTTTTTTGTAATCAAAGTTCTGGGACCCTAACCCTAACCCTAACCCTAGGACTCCCAAGTTCCCTTTCTCATGAACTGAACTGTTTATTAGGATCTCAGATCAGATACACATATAATCAACATAATCAACTTCATATCTAAAACGTCTACGAAATGGTAGATACATTTCTCATGTATTTCCCGCAATTTAATCACCCTACTCCTATTGATGCAGCCTAGAATCGCATTGGCCTTTTGAGCTGCTGCATCACATGCTTGGCTCATGTTCCACTCATGCTCTACTAAAGACTCCTAGATCCCTTTTGAATGAAGTCTTTCCAAGCCAAGTGTCCCCTGATGCTATATCTGCATTGCATTTTTATGGCCAAAGCGTAAGTACTATACATCCTTCTTGTTGAAATGCATTGTGTTCGTTTTGTGTTCACAGTTTGCATTTGAAGTTCTGACTTACAGTGGCAGTCGCTGACGTGAATGTCGTAGATGTGCGAGTGCGTCTTCAAGGCAAAGACGAGCCCAATGATGTATGCCACGGGAAGCAGCAGCGAGACGGTGTAGACCAGGGGCCTCATGGGAAACAAGAGAAACCATACATATATATCTATATTCTATGTATGTAATAAAAGTCAGTGTTTGTATGCGGAGGAAGTGCGGCGGACATAGGGCAGCTTTCTGATTGGTTGCCACTGTGGTATTATTTGCATATGTTCTCTGATTGGCCAGCCTCAAAACTCCAAGATTCTGAGGTGACAGGAGAGGAAAAGGCCTGAGGCTGTGTCAGAAAATTACCAATACAGACCAAACTTGGCACACAGAGCCCGCAAGACCCACTCTACATCCTACTGCAGTTTGCAGGAGGATGAACCATGGATGATGGGACTTGCAATACCATCACTCACATTCTGAGGCCGCTGTGAACCTCATCCAATGACTGATCAAGACAAACTTGGCACACAGAGCCCCCATGACCCGTTCTACATCCTGGTGCTGTTTGGAGGAGGATGGACCATGGATGATGGGACTTGCAGTACCTTCACTCACTTCCCTACACCCAGCAACACTCATCCAATTACCAATAAAGACCAAACTCTGCACACAGAGCCCCCATGACCCACTCTACATACTACTACAGTTTGGAGGAGGATGGACCATGGACGATGGGACTTGCAGTACCATCACTCACTTTCTGAGACCCCTGTGACCCTCATCCAATGACTGATCAAGACCAAACTTGGCACACAGAGCCCCCATGACCCATTCTACATCCTGGTGCTGTTTGGAGGAGGATGGACCATGGATGATGGGACTTGCAGTACTTTCACTTACTTCCAGAGACCACAGCAACATTCATCCAATTACGATTGATGGACCTGAACCAAACTTGGAACACAGAACCCCCAAGATCCACTTTATGTCCTGGAGTGGTTTAGGGGAAGATGGACCATGGATGATGGGATTTGCAGTACCTTCACTCACTTTCCGAGACCACTGCGACTCTCATCCAATGACCACTCAAGATCAAACTTGGCACACAGAGCGCCCATGACCCACTCTACATCCTGGTGCAGTTTCGAGGAGGGTGGACCATGGATGATGGGACTTGCAGTACCTTCACTCACTTTCTGAGACCACTGCAACCCACACCATTTTTGGTCTAGACCAAACTTGGCACACAGAGCCCCCATGACCCACTCTACATCCTGGTGCAGTTTGGAGAAGGGAGGACCATGGATGATGGGACTTGAAGTACCTCCACTCACTTCCCAAGACCACTGCCACTCCCATCCAATGACTGATCAAGACCAAACTTGGCACACAGAGCCCCCATGACCTACTCTACATCATGGTGCAGTTTAGAGGAGGGCCGGCTACGGATGATGGGATTTGAAGTACCTCTACTCACTTCCTGAGACCACTGCAACCCCCATCCAATGACTGATCAAGACCAAACTTGGCACACAGAGCCCCCATGACCCACTCTACATCCTGATGCAGTTTCGAGGAGGGTGGACGATGGATGATGGGACTTGCAGTACCTTCACTCACTTTCTGAGACCACTGCGACTCTCATTCAATGACTGATCAAGACCAAACTTGGCACACAGAGCCCCCACAACCCACTCTACATCCTGGTGCAGTTTTGAGGAGGGTGGACCATGGATGATGGAACTTGAAGTACCTCCACTCATTATCCAATGACTGATCAAAACCAAACTTGGCACACAGAACCCCCATGACCCACTCTACATCCTGGTGCAGTTTCGAGGAGGATGGACCATGGACGATGGGACTTGCAGTACCTTCACTCACTTCCTGCGACCACAGCAACACATCCAAATGCCAATAAAGACCAAACTTGGCACAGAGAGCCCCCATGGCCAACTCAACACTGGTGCGGATTGGAAGAGGATGGACCATGGACGATGGGACTCACAGTACCTTCACTCACTTCCTGAGACCACTCCGAGCCACATAAACAAATGATAAAGGCCAACCTTGGCACACAATGCCTTTCTCAAATAACCTGGGCAGCGCCGGGTCCCCGAGCTAGTAAATAAATAAAACCAAGAGACAATGTGGCCTGCTCACCTAAGGTGTCCTTTGCCTTCTGCTAAAGGCAAAGGTCACCTTTCCCAACTGACCTGTTGCCCAAATGGAAGAAGCACGCTCCTCTGGATTTGGAATTCTCCCACATTCCCATTATTCACCTGACCTCGCACCACTGGACTTCCACCTCTTTGGAATTGTCTATTATTTGTATTATCGAAGGCTTTCATGGCCGGAATCACTGGGTTTTTGTAGGTTTTTTTGGGTTATATGGCCATGTTCTAGAGGCATTCTCTCCTGACATTTTGCCTGCATCTATGGCAAGCATCCTCAGAGGTAGTGATCTCTAGAACAGTGTTTCTCAACCTGGGGGTCGGGACCCCTTGGGGGGGTCACGAGGGGGTGTCAGAGGGGGTCAGCAAAGATGATCAGAAAAGACAGTATTTTTTGTTGGTCATGGAGATTCTGTGTGGGAAGTTTGGCCCAATTCTATTGTTGGTGGGGTTCAGAATGCTCTTTGATTGTAGGAGAACTATAAATCCCAGCAACTACAACTCCCAAATGTCAAGGTCTATTTTCCCCAAACTCCACCAGTGTTCACATTTGGGCATATTGAGTATACATGCCAAGTTTGGTCCAGATCCATCATTGTTTGAGTCCACAGTGCCCTCTGGGTGTAGGTGAACTACAACTCCCAAACTCAAGGTCAATGCCCACCAAACCCTTCTAGTGTTTTCTGTTGGTCATGGAGTTCTGTGTGCCAAGTTTGGTTCAATTCCATCGTTGATGGAGTTCAGAATGCTCTTTGATTGTAGGTGAACTATAAATCCCAGCAACTACAACTCCCAAATGACAAATCATAATTTTTTGAGTGATGGTCACTCCTTGTGTTGTGAGACATTTTGTTGCCAAATTTGGTGTGATTTCACTCATTGGTTCTTTTGTTTTTAAGGTACTCATTATGCACAGAGCATTTAGATAGATAGAGATATAGATATATAGATATATATAGACTTAGTGGGTTGTTGTAGGTTTTTTCGGGTTATATGGCCATGTTCTAGAGGCATTCTCTCCTGACGTTTCGCCTGCATCTATGGCAAGCATCCTCGGAGGTAGTGACCTCTAGAACATGGCCATATAGCCTGAAAAAACCCACAACAACCCAATGATTCTAATTATGAGACTCTGATTTCCAAAATCACAACATGGCTTTTGGAAATGTCCGGCAAGATGTCCCTCTCACGAGGACAAAGTTTTTGCAGTTTTATAAACTTCTCCCATGATTTTATGATAGAACCGATTAGGAAATGACATTTATAACTTCGTGTACACACTAATGACTTAGTGTATTGTGAATGTAATGCTTAAAAGAACAGAGTTCGTTCTCGGTTTTGGCCCATACGGGGGATTTCCAAACACTGGAATGCAGGAATTATGGTTGAAGCTGCCATCTGACTCCATCATGGGACGGAAGCAGAAAATCCATTTCCATCCCTTGCACAGAATGAAGAGTATTGCTTATTATGGATTCAAATGCATGTGACAAGGGTGTGACCTGGTCTCATACCATTATTAGACCCATCTGACAAAAGTTTCCAAAAAGAAGAGGCAGAAAACTCCCCTCAATGGCTTCTTGAAAGTTTGGGGTGCATCTACACTGTAGGATTAATGCACTTTGACAACTCTCTATTCTACAATTCCTCTTGAGACAAAAGCCAAGGGAAGGTTTGCCTTCAAAGACTTAGAAGGGACCTCAAGGCGACATCCAGTCTTAACCCCGTTCTGCAGGCAAGAAGACAGGCACCATCAAAACCCTCCCAACAGATGGCCATGCCATCTCTGCTGCCAAATATCAAAAGGAGGAACTCTACTAAACTATTTACAATTCCTCCAAACTAGTCTTGATACAAAAGCCAAGGGAAGGGTTGCCTACAAAGACTCGGAAGGGACCATCCAATCTTAACACCCTTCTCCAGACAAGAAGACACCA